TTCCCTCAATAAATTGGAGAGCCATTGTTGTTTTGCGTCCCTTGCATGCATACACGTAAACCTTAACTTTATTTACGTGCTTGATTAGAAGTAGGGAGCTGGAGCAGCGGTCCCGCTGGGGTTCTTTTCTGTTTTGTGTTGTTTAGCGACGCTATCAATCTGATGTCCCCACATGCCCCATTGGCCACGCCCCCGTTTGCCCTAAGCCCATGTTAATACCCTTTGGCGTCACTGTTATGAGTCGAGTGGAGCGAATCGAGGTGGTTCGACTTATCATTGTGCAAGCGAAAACTTAATTGAACGGCATTTGACATAGTTTAAGGCGATAGAACCATAAACATTGTACCACACACACACACACTATCTATTTTCCTTTTCGGATTAGATGGAAAATTGACTTTGTTGTTCGGAAAATTAGTTTCTCTTGTGAATTGCGCATCATTTGGCGACAGCGTTACATTTCGTGTGACATCGAAACCCAGAAAAAATGCTTTGGGCATAAAGCTACGCCAGATTATGCTGCATGTCCAGATGGAGATGGCTTCCAGTTCCATTTCATGCCTTCCCCAATCCCCCCGATCCCCGATCCGCGAATCTGGAATGCCTGTTTCCTACCCAAAGCCAAATGTCACGCCAAACCAGCATCACCAACAAATGCAACAACTGCGGCGGTTCAAGCTGCTTTCCACTGATTGCGAAAATCATGCCGACAAGAAAAAACTATTAAGTTCCCTAAAGTCGACTTTGGGATACCCAGTGATTTTATAAAGAATAATTAAAAAAATAATTAAGTAAGTAAAAATCACAATCCAAGCTTTCAAGTGTTGGTTAATTTCAATATATAAAATGACCTTATTAAGATTCCAATAAATGGTATAATTAAAACAAGAACCTCCCTATAATTTTTGGCATACCCTGTACAAAAAGAGTTGCCAGAATGTGGCATGTGACAGGGCACAGGAGAAGCAGAAGAAGAAGAAGAGCTCGCTCCATCCACATGCCTCCACATCTTTTTTGCAGCTGCGAATTGCAACGAACTGCAGTCTGCAAAGCTTGCCATTTGCAATCCACAGCAGCAGGGACCAGCATCTCTCATCCAAAGTGAAATTTTGTCAATGCATCTGGATGTGGCTTAAGGGTTAGCCATTTACACAGAGGAGGGGGGATTCGGGGATCGGGGTTTCGATGGGGGAGTTCGGGGATTGAGTTATGAGTGCCAGCCAGTGAAGTAAATTAGAGAAGGCAACGGAGGAGTTGTGAATATATTCTCGGGCGAAGGATCAGCTGCCGAGTTTGCTGTTGCAATAGATATGTGTTGTATACTGCGACCGGAATTAGAAAGTCAAAGGTTCATCCGGTTCAAGAAGAGCTCAGCCCGATGACGGAGCCAATTTGATGACTAGCCTGGATTTTATGGGGTTATCTTTGGAATTTAAACCAAGGGATAGTCTATTTTGGAAAGTAAGTGATGCCATTTAGGTTGGACAAGACAATCCTTTCCAAAACAGAAGAGATTGGAGTTGGAAATCCCTCATCAACATTTTGATATTAAACATGAAGCTTAAATTCATACTTTAAACTCCGAATCATAATTCCCAAATTTGGTATTCCGTTCACATTACCCACCCACCCATTATTTTGGGCCATCCGGTGTGCCATTGTTATAATTTAACTCACCTATAACTTGATTTATATTCGATCATAAATTAAATAACTTCTGTGTGCAGCAACTGTGCAGCGGCATGTTCATTCGGATTACATTTGGCACATTTGCAGTTGATGCACGACCCTAATGGTAATTAATTAGGCATTTAATTTAATTATCACAGGTCACAATATCCGCTAATTTCTGGTTAAATGCAATGGAAGTTGTAATGGCTGGCAAAGCGTTTTGTTTCGCCGCTTCGGGGCTTTAAATTTGTAAACCGAAACTTCCATAAATTTTCATACATAATTTACACCTGTGCGCGGGTGCGTGTTTTGCTGAAAATTTCTGGTGAGGGGGGAAACCCGGCATTAAAGTGTATGATATGAATTTCAATTTGCGGAAAGTAAACACATAAATGGCGAACGATGCTTTTGACTGATTCCATTATATACATCTCAAATTCTGTATAAATTCATTCCAAGTGACAAACTTGGGCAATTTCCGCTCCACGGAAATGTGCACAATTTAATTTTGGCCTGCGGTGGCGAGGGTTTGTTCATTTTTTTCCCCTTGGTTTAGGTTTTTTCCTCCTGCGGAGTTGTTGTGGGCATTCAAGAAACATCTTTTGGTCTAGCCAAGCAGAAGTTTAGTTAAGTCCACGTATCTTCATCTACGGATCTCTCCGCGGAGTTGATAATTTTCTGCTTGAGTGTGCCGCAGACTTCCCTCGGTTGCTGTTGCTTTTAATTAGAATTAGCAAGTCGCTCGTCGTGCCCACAAAAATGAAATGTACTCACACACATCACCGCCGACATGCTGTTGGCCCCCAAAGTGAGCAAGAAGTTTCCATCGCCCCTTTTTCCCGACTTAAGATAATTTTTTGTTCGCCGTGAAAACATAAATTTAAGTTGTTTTTATTACCACGCACATTCACGCACGTTCGTTCGCCTTTATTCCCCAAACTTTGTATACCCCCAAAAATTTCCTTGGAAAATTAACAACACTCGTGGCTTTGATTTATCGCGATAAGCGGATGTTGTTGTTTGCCGCTTTCCATTGTTTGTGGGTTGAATTGGCGGGTTGTGGGTGGTTCTGGGGTGGCTGTGCACAGATTTTGATTTTGTCAGGCCCCATATATATGCAGATTGATTTTCGGGCTTTAATTAAGTTATCTAGTTTGGCATTTTGATAAATGCTTTCAGCGCTTCGTTACCCCGGGTAATTGAAAATGAAGGCTAAATTACTTGGCCATTAGAAAGGTTGCGACTTTCAGCAGACGAAAATGAGACCTTGAAAAACGGATTCCATTTTACGGAACTAGTTAGGTAATGAAGGTAAATGTAGATCATTATCAAAAGGAAATGGATCTGCAGAGGTTATACAATTTAAAATGGGTAACTTCCTAATTTAAGGAAATGTTAAATACTTCTGGCAGATTCATAAAATAAGTTATTAAAAATTAAGTAAGTAAACTTCTGGGTTTTCCCACAAAGTCCCAAGTGAGATAATAAAAAAAACTTAAGTGTCGCCCACTTCTTAAGACCCGAATTCAACGCACTATTAAAGCAGCCCGTAAAGTGACAGACACATAAATTAATTAAAAGTCGGAAGCAGACAAAAATATAGTTTAAAGAAGGCGAAGCGGAGCGGAGAAAAGAAAAGCGGCAGCCAAACAAATTACACATGCGACTGGTGGCCGCGACAGTTTGGCTGACAATAATTAAAGCAACTGCAACCAGCCGCCAATAACAACAATAAACAGCTGCACGCAACACCAGCGGCATCGCCATCGGCATCCTCAAACATCCTCTTCTCCATCTCGAATCTCCTCGGAATAAAGAAGCCGGCCGTCATTACTCCCATGGCATGTGATCTATATATATAAAATATATTTGTATATATTATGTATGTGCTGTTTGAAGGGCGGCAGGCGGATGGGATGCATCATGCAACTCCATGTGGCAATTATGTGAATGCACACAAATTGAAAAAGTAAACCAACTGCACCCACTGCCACCCAAGTTAAGCCAAGCCAAGAAGATTTTGCCCACAGACAGTGGAACCTCTTAAGGAAGTACAGAAAATATATTTACCACGTTTGTAAATAATATAAATTACATGTAGATTTAAGAAACATTTTTATCGGTTGTCTGAGAGCTTTAAAAAAAATATAAAAAAAATTTTTAATTTGAAAATAGCCCTATCTTTAATAAGGGAACATCACTGTTAAATAAACATTTTAACTGGCTTGTTTCCTCAAAACTTCCCTGAATGTCTCCCATTTTCCACTCTTTAAGCTCTTAATGATCATAATCTTTGTACACGACAAACCCACTCTTGCACCCTTGCTAGCTTTAATTGTTAAACAAATATTCATGAAAAAAAAACCAGAGAGAGCACAATTAAAGGCCAAACATTTACATAGTTTTATTACTGCTGACCCTCCGAGGTCATATGTTACTTTATCTTTTTTGGAGCACAGTTGGGCGAGTTCTTAAATGAGGGGGAGAAGTGTGAAGAGGCCACAGATAAACACACGAGATGACCGCCACTTAAATTGTTTTCTTAGCCACGCTGCAAGTGGGAAAGTTTTCGGACGAGTAAAGTTCTCATCCAATTAGCGAAGATAATTGCTGTACTCAGCAAAAATTTATGAAATAAAAAGCAGAAGAAAATTTTAAAAATAATTGCAGTCCAACGATAAGAGTAAAACATTTTTCTTAATTAAAGTGAGCATGAATTGAATAAAATTCTTTATTATTTGCCTCATCGTTACGAAATTCCAATTTTGTAAAAGCCAGCTTAAATATTGCTTAGATAGCTTTACTAAAAGAAATTTACCTAAACGTTTACAAATTAATAAGCACTTAATGCCTTTAAAATTTATGTCAGCTTTTTTGTTATGCAAACAAATGTTACTTTTTGTTATGCAAATATTTTGCATATCTGAGGCCTTAAATTGAACGAAACAAAACGCTCAGGTTTCTATTTGCCTTTTCTATTTGTCGCATAACAAATACTTCCCCTAGTTAAGCCACTTAAATGCCTTTAAAGTGATTTTACCTAAGCAGCCAAATGTGTTGCACAACTTTGGCTTGGCGAAAAACAATAAAAGCCAAAGCAAAAGCCATATGTCAATTGGCTAATTAAAGGCGACTGCAGCGATAAACTTTTGTCTCAGTCAGTTTATTGCCTGTAACAAATTTATCTTTCACTTTAGCTGCAGTTCAAGTTTGCTTCAAAATCAATTGCAATCTGGTTTCGTATGTTTAAAGCAAAAGTTCAATAACAAAACGCCATAAACGAACATTTGATTAATTGATTCCAATTTTGTTTTTCTATCTCATTGCAGTTCACCCCGAAAACAGATCTTGAAATTATGGTAAGTTAATAACCCTAATTGGGCAACAACTTTATTAGCAAATTAGCAGTACTTGGTTAGAATGTCCCATGGGTGAAATAAATCACAATTTATGCGAGGCGAAATGAAATTGTATGCTTTTCGCTTTTCGCGGGAAAATAATTTATGCACAACGATGAAAGCAACTTTGTACTTACTTTTTAAATTTGACTTGTGCGGTTTGTGGGTCTTATTTTTGGTACAGGGCTGCGGCTTTGACCGCTTGATGTGGAATGAGTAATGTTTAAATGTAACCAGGACAATGGCAGCCAAGATTGTGCCAAAGGGAGTTGCCCCCGAACAGAATCCCCTGCCACCTTTGGGGCCATCTCATGCAATTTATATTCGACACTTGCCACGCCAGCGAACTGGGTCAAAACATGTGAAGAGCTCCACTTGTTCCTGTTGTCGTTGTTATTCTTGTTTTTGTCGTGCCGGTAGATTTTATATCTATCCATCTATCTCCTGAAACTCGGTCCTTAAATTCTCTGGGTTGACTCTTACAACCCTCGGTTCGTTTGATTGAATTTCAATTTTAATACTTTGGCCAGAGAGCAGGAGTCGTAAAGTGTGCTGTCGATTTTCTGACTCTTTCCAGGTCATTTATCCCCGAAAAAGCTTAGTCCGAGCACAATTAGTTTGATGGGTTTTTGTGGGGGGCAGGGCCGAAAAGTTTTCATTAATGTAAAACACTTTACGCACTCATTAGAGTCATTTGTTTGTGACATCTCTATCTCGCCTTCCGTTTCTCCGTTTCTCGCTCTGTGGATGATAAATGTGTCCATAATGCGGCCTAATTGCGGCATCATTAGAGGCGCCTCTCGGCCCTGATTGCCACTTCTGCGAAAATACCCAAACTGGATTGGTACACAAAGGAAAAAGACATTTTAAATAAAAAAAAAAAAAAAAAAAATGTTTAATAAATAATACTAAAAAAAAATCATTTAACCAAACATGGTTATTTAGTTTTATTTACACTATTTGTTTTACACTTTTAATTGAGCTTGTTATTTTTGGGATTTTATTAAAATGAAATATATTATTTTGCTATTAGGTAAATAAGTATTATTTTTGTTGAGTGTTGGTCAAATAAGATGAGTACTTGAATCGGACAGACAGTCTTGACTTTAGCATATTTCGGGAGGCACGAGAAGAGGCACAAGACTATCGGTTTCCAGGCGGCTGTCATGTTGGATTGGCAACAAAGCAAATCAAATTTAATGATAAACTCGAATGGAAGCACATGTCTTTTCCGCCCGAGATGATAACTCCCCCGCTTTCTCCCTTTTCCCCTCTCTTTCTCGCCAGAATCGAGTATATATATCCGTGTTGGCGTAAACAGCAACAGAGGCACATAGGAATGACTAATTTAATGCGTCGAGTTTGGCGTTTGTGACGTTACGTTACGTATACGCACCGTGTGCCCCAGGACCTTTGGCATTTTGCAAAAGTTAACGAAGCGAACGAGGCAAACAAGAGGAGACAGAAACAGCGACGTGAAAGGAGGAACAGAACGGTGCTCATAATATACTGAATTTTATTTATAGCATAATTTCAGGTGTCGCGAACAGACGACAAAGTGTTGAAAAACCTGCACAAATTAAAGAACTTATCAGCTTAAAGGACACACATACATATATGTAGTATACCTAACCTAACTTAGCTTAGCGATAAAATTTCGGTTTTATTTCGCGTCTCTTCAACTTGACTTTCAGTCCATCCTTTGTGTGTATAAAGGGAGCCGGCTGATGGGAAACTTCCCAGGGTTTCGGCCAGTTTGGGATCCAATTCCAGGCGAAAGTTTTGCAGGAGCTTGATCAGAGCGACTTTAATTACCAACTTGGCAAAGTTTTGACCTGTAATTAAGTAACAAAAATGTTAAGTATTTACCAGCGAAGAAATTGGAAACCTTTACGCACCCACACACTGAGCTCCTCCAATTCCAAATCCTATGAAAGCGTTGCTCTTGGTTTTATCTTTTCGCTGGCTTGCATCATTTTCAGATAGCAAAAATCGTAGAGGCTTATATTTCATGGGTTCACTGAAATACTTTTCATCTCTGTGTATGGCCAGCAAAGGAACCATCAACGTCTTTCCTTCGTCTATTGTAAATTTGGAATTTGGCAGGGAATAGGTTTTGCGGCAAATGCGTTCAATAATTGGTAAAGGCGGGTATTTGCGAACAGTTTCTGTAAAGGGTTTAATTGTGATTAAATAATACATTTTATAAATTTTTATATTTTTTTACATACCCTTCAGGCACATATCCATATACTTAAGACCATCCAGTTCTTCAAATTTAAGCTGTCCATTTTCATTGCTAAGTTCCTTGATTTCCGCTTGAAGTTTCTCCACAATCAAGGGTGCTTGCAGAATTTCATAAAGTGTGAGTGTAATAGTTGAAGCCACTGTATCTAGAGATACTTTTAAGAGGTCCTCAGCCACTTTAGACAAGCGTTTAATGGACAAAAGTTTTTCTGTATCTAGAAATTTACATTAAAATATTTTTATATAACATTTTAGTTCTTATACTAACCATTATTCGTTTCCAACTGCCATTTATCGCCACTGACTTCATTTCCATTTCTAAATCTGACTAGTAATTGTAGAATATCTTTTCGTATCAGTCCATGATCTTCGCGTAATTCTACGCTTTGTTTAATGAGATCTCTTAGGCGGTAGGTAAATGAAGATTTCTGGGGCAGGCGACTTAAAGTGCTGCAGAGGAGGATAAATATGATTACATTTAAGGGATAATAAAATCCTGATTAGAAATACCTACAAGGATTGAATTGAAGCCTGTCCATGGCTCAGGTAGCTGGTTAATATATGATCCTTTTGCTCAAAGTTGTTGACATCCAAGCCGTAAATCAGATTGCCAATGATGTTAACTGAATAACTAAAAAGAAAACAAATTAATTTTATATATTTAAATAAATGTTTTAACTCTTATTACACTCTTAGTATTTGCTGAAGATCCACTTCCAAAATCCCTGCTTGCATTTGTTCCTTCTCCATCAAATGTTTAATTAAATGATCACCCACTTTTTGGACCTGCCCGAACATTTCAGACAAACGTTTGGTAGTAAACATGGGAGCGAGTTTCTCTAGAAGATTAAACCTTCGATAACCCTTGACATAGTCCCATTTAAGTTCGCTGAAGTGTCCATTCGATTGCTGCAGTATCGTTTGGGCCAGTTCCACATTTCGAACTAGAAGAACCGGCCTGAAAAAGCAGTAGATTCCCAGCAGACGATCCCTGCCCGATTGATAGGCCTCGCAGATGGCCTCCACGTGTCGGAATTCCCTTCTATATGCCCGTTGCAGGAAACTCCATGTGATCCCGGCCTTTTCCGAGGGGAATCCCCGGCGTCGCCAGTGGCTGTAAATGTGGCGAACGGTGAGGAATACCACCGAATATAGAAGAATGGGCAGAAGCAACCACATTTCGAAGATGATGTTGCGACTTTGACGGATCTCAACAGACTGGTGATGAAGAAACTAAAGCCGATTCCTGAGTCCCGATGCAGATAATTAACACGAGTTGGCAGGCCAACTGAGCATGATAATGATAATGATAATGATAATGACGAAGAATGATAATCACCGAACGAAATCGAAAGTCGCGATCGAACAGCCACTCTTCTCGTCGGCCAACTGACAACTGCAAGTCAATCTTGTCTGACCAAAATAACAAAATCGAAATTCGAACAGAATCGGGAGAAAAAAAAATCAGAAAAATTCCGGGCATGCTATCACATACTGCTTTAGTTATCTCTATCTCTCTCGCTCTTTATGGCTGTGCCCTGTGCGTCCTGATAGTAATTTATACAGCCGCTGGGCTGTACCATGTTATTATCAAAGTCTGGAGCAAGTTTTTGTACCCAAAACTAGTACCTATTATGCGGGAGGGGTATATAGGGATTCGAAAAGCCTTGGCGGAAAAAAAATATGGAAATATTTTAATAAACAAATCATTGGTTTTTGTTCTACTAAAAATATGGATTTTATCTTCCTTCCATTAAATATTAAGAAGCATTAACTAGTCCTTACCTTTTTACGATTTAATTCCCCATTCTTTTGTTTATAAGCTGAAGATGCAACAATCTTCTGCATTGCCTTTCTTTATTTTCCTTTTTCTCTCCGGCAAACGTTGCCTGATTTATTACACTTGTTGATAAGACTAGACAACATTTAGTTATTTACTATAGTAAAATAGCTGAGTCATGCTACTCGCTTCAATGGCTTTTGATTGGAGGCTTTATCAATGGAACTTGAGGCAATGTTGACTAAGTCGGGCAAGCATCTCCGGGTAGGAATTTAAGGTGAATGCTTGACAACAGATTAAGTTCAGTGGATTAGAAAAATGTATATTTAGATAGATGACTAAGAGTTAATATTAAATTTGCTGTTTAAATACATTTTGCATAGCTGAATTACGTTACATAAGTCTGCTTCCGATCACGTTTGATAATATGAGAGAAAATCAATCAATGAAAACCCACAAGTTTACCACTCCCATTGGCTGACTTCCTTCCATTTATTGTTTTGTAATCTTAGACATTAGTTACCACTATGGGCGGCAGACTTTCATAACAATCTGTGTGTGTGTCAATCATTAATTCCATTCCATTACGCATAAAGTAGCCTCGTTTTTTTGCCGCTGCTCTCGAACAATTATCGTTTTAGCCCGGTTGCCTCGAAAGTGTCAATTTCAATGCCTAACCAAGTGAATCAAGGCAATTTGCCCTCATCCACTTCACTCCTCGGCCAAAAAGGGAAGTAGTTAATCACGCCCATTGCATGCCAAAGTTGCAAAAAAAAAACCAGCAACAACAAAAAATGTAAATCGTGTAAAAAGGTAGCGAAAAAAGAGACTAAAAATGCATTGAAGTTGTTGCTTTTGTCGCACCGGAGGCAATTTTCCCGACCAATGGTGGAAAAAGGGGGATCCTACAGGTAAGCACTTGTTGCTGCTCCACATAATTGATGTTGCCTGTGGGAATTTGAATTAAGTGAGCCGGTCGGTGTTTCTAGCTGCTCAGATATTTATGTATCTAACTCAATGTTATTCCACACAATTTCCCACAACTATGTATGTTGCACTTCGGGTTACCAGTTCATTGGGTGGGCAATTCAATTGGTCCTTTTCAATTGAGTGTTTGCCAAAAGCAATTTCAATATGACTTTATTGCGTTGGCAGACTCCAGGCGATGGCTTCTGCCAACTCATGACAGCAACAGCTTGTTGCCATGGCTCATCGGCAACACGGCCAACAGCAACATGGCTATCAGCAACAGTCGCAGTGGCAACATCCGCAAGTCATGCCAGAAATTGAATGAAGTTGGCAAATACATATACTGCGGGGCCTTTTTTCGTGGCCTAAGAATGACTCAACAGATCCTGTAGGAGCAAAAAATTTGTAAAAAAAAATAATTATGTATTCAAAAGTTGCAAAGAACTCTCCTGAAGTCGGATGACAAAAAGTCACGATGATTTTATGCACAAGTGGTTTTAAATTACTCAGAAAATAAACCGCACAATTAATAAGTCGCAGCTGTAAAAAAAATCATCTAAATGAGCAAAAAGGTCTAGCTTTAAATAAGGATGGAAATATTCACAAATATTTATCCTATTAAAATTAAAATTTTGCAAAGCTGTAAGAAAAACATGACAAAAACTCAATAAACAATAAAATAAACAAGAAAAAAATTTAAAAAAACCAACAACTCAGCAAACAATAAAAAAAGCCAGTAAACGCATAACTCCTAATTGAATTTACAGAAAATATTCAACATTTTAAGCAGCTTATTCCCACTTTGAGTTTTACCTTTTCCAATATTTTTTAATGAATGTCCGCCCCCTCAAACTGCAATTTGCTGTATGGATTTATTGGCTTTGAGTCACTCAAACGAACAACTGTTGATAATGCCTGTGATTCACTATATTCACGTACATGAAGTCATGTAGCATTTGTTTTACATTAAGTCATAAACCGTTTGGTTTGCATTATTGCCGACAGACACGTGTCGATTCACTTTCATGTGATGTTCGGTTTCCCACATATAAAATCTAATTATTCCACGACTCGTTGAAATACAGCTGTATATATTTCTTTGGTTAAATACACGGTTTGCCTGTGCGTTTTCATTTTTTCCACAGAATTATTAAGTAAATATTTTGTTCGCTATTTCAATTTGGTCATAAATCAAAACGTGGTCCCCAGAGCGCCATGAAATTTGAGTAAGAAACGTTCTGCATGTAGAGAAATATATTTCTATAATATGTACATATTTAGAAAATTAAGCTTAACTTGAGAAACAGAAAATACAATTCAATCAGACTTCTAATTTAAGGTAAGACATAACATATTAAACATATTTTATTTTACGTTTGATTTAGTCAGCAGGTGATTATTATTTTATTTTTATCTTTATTTATTTGATGACATGATCGTTAACCAAAAATATGCTGATGATCCGAGATAGTTTACTTATCAGAAATTTATTAACTAGTAAAACTAGTCATACAACTTTTTGTTGAAGTGCAGACGAGACTTGTTAGTCAGTCACTTGACAGGCAATAGTCTGGTGCTCCTTTCACCGCCCCTCCAACGTTTTGCGAAAATTTCCTTGAACAATGACAAAGCTTTGTACGACAGTTTGTTGTTCCCGTCAACTGCGAAGTTCATGAACAAATGCTAAAAAGCGAGCAGGCAAGAATACTATACTATATAAACGTGTATATATATTTACATGCAAATTACTCATTGAGAAGATGAGTGCAACGCGGGAACGAGATCCCTGGGTTTGGGTGAGAAATTTGCATGTTTATGTGAAAAAATATTCGGTTGTTGTTATGAAAATTTTTCGCTTGCCATGTGTTAGAGGAGCCGGGAAATGGAATTTCGCGATTTGAGCCATCCGCAACTTATCTCCTTCGTCTGCATTTGAAATTGAAGTGTGCGTCTGGTGATGGCTGGAAAAAAATGCCATCAAAATGCGTCATGTAAAATTGGGTTTTAATAACAAATTCAATTTAACTTTTGAGCAGTTTTTGATCCACATACGTGGAGCAACCAACAACCAGCGATAATTGCTTGTCCTCGGGCCAAAGGAAAGGAGCAAAACGAGAGGTCAGGCGAGACGAGAGGCTTTGTGCATTTTAATTGAGTTTTCCCCACGCGCCCCCTGCCTCCTTTCCATTTTCCTGCTGGCCCCGCATGAGTTGAATTATTTTGTTGCCGCCGAGCGTCACAGAAAAATTAAATCACAGCACGTTTGCTCTTACGCTTGCCACTCCTGTTGTGCCGATGCACTTGAGTGAGTTTCCATAAAGCGCAGATCTGGTGGAAAACAAACTGAAACTGGAACTGGAGCTCAAAACTGAATCAGAAATTAACATAAAGGCCTCAAAAGTCAACCAACCTGTATCTGTTGCTGTTTTTCTACACCACCCCTCCTCCCATTTGTGCATTGTTAGCCGACCACGCCCACCACGCCCCCATGCTAACGGTTTCAATTGTTATACATCCACAGCAATTTGTTTGATTTCTGTCTGCCCCTTTTGACATGTCCAACGTTTTCACTGACCTGCCCCATGATGAAAAGATTGGGCTTAGTGTGGGATTTTCCAATCTTCAGTGGTGCACGGAGAAAAATGCCGACATTAATGCAGTTTTCTTCTTACTTGTGCCCTATAATTTAAATCAAGACAAAGGGGCTTGAACGTTTAAAGCGATAGCTATGACTTTCTGTATAGTTCTTTATAGTTTATAGACCTTAACCACATTTTTTGAAACTAAATATTTTATATCAAAAATTAAATATTAAATTTTATTTGCCCAAAATTTGTTACATTTTTTTCCATATGCCTTTTTAATGAATTTATTTGTTTAACCTAACATAATTTCGTATTGCTTTTCTCCAACGAAATGTTTTTCTTTATTTGTTTTTTTTTTCTATGGCTGTCAATTGCAAACATTTGTCAACTGACACAAATAAATTGAAAAATGAAATTTTGTGACAGTTCCTCAAACATGTTTTTTCCAAAATCCCCCGGGGCTTTTGGAAGGCGTTCGCTTGACCTGCAAAAGATATTTGCTCTTTTGTGTTTTAACAGAATTTCAGTTGTCAACCTTTAAAGGCGTTAAAATGTATGTGTTCCTCTTAAAGTGTATACCATATTTGTATAAAAATGGTAGTTTTTTACTGCTTAACCCAGATACTAACAATTTTCTCAACCATAAATTTTTAAAAGCGTTTTCTTCACCCCATGTGGACGAGGTTTCCCACAAATTCCAATTAATTGGCAAATTTAACATAAATATACAGCAAGCCTTTTGCTTGCTTTATTGTTTTCCCTGTCCTCTTTTGGCTTTTGTTGATTTTCCCCGATTATTAGCTCAAAATACACACAAGGCCGTAAATAACAGCCGAACTCATGGCGAACATGCAGCACAAAAATTACGCATACGCCGCATGGTACGATACAAACTTGACATTGAACTTGCCGTTTTCCGTTCGATATCCCGAAGGCCATTTGGGGGTGGGACTTGCTAGTTGGGGGCGACATTAAATATTCATTTGGCAGTCGGCTGCCATGACAATAATAAAAAGTGGCCCCAACAGGGACGAAAAGATTTGCCGAAAGACGGACAATATTTTTAATTGTTTGAGCACAATGTTCGATATGCATAGACTAAATGCCCTCTCTGTTTCCCCCAGGGGGTGTGAGATTTTCTTTGGGGAGGTTTCCCAGGGATCTTGATGGGTGGTCGTAATGAAGCCACATAAATCTCGGCACTAAATATATTTGCCAAGTTCGTGGAGCTGGGGAAGTGAGGCAATTAATCTTTTGCTCGGAGATATATAAAAGTTTGGCTACAGCAGCTGGCAAAATGATAGCAGCTTAATGAAAAATATTTTGAACATCTAATAAAGAAAGTATATATTTTTAAAAGATTGGATATTGCGACTTTTATCTGCATTAAAACTTAAAGAATGAATCCAGCCAGCAAACATTTTTGGCAGCATTCGAGGTAAATAAATAAGAACACATTTAAAACGTAAATCGCTATTATTCCCACTTTAGCTGTAGTTGAAAACTTTTTTTGGCAACCAAACCGGGGACACGTAAAAAAACACTCAAGGGAGGAAAGCCGTTTGCCTTTTGGGAATGGGCAGCGGACATCCACGGGCCGCAAAAGTAATAGCACAATAAATGTGCATCAGGCAGCCAGAAATCACCGCACTTAAGGAGGCCCCGCTTTTCCCCCCTGTGCGTGTAAATTATAGATAACCGTGTTAATGTTGCATTGCCCCTCCTTCTTGTGTTCCCAACCTCCGGAGAAACGTTTCTGGACAACCCCAAACAAACAAAGTTGCCCGAGGAAAGTTTTTGGCTCCGACAGAAGTTGGCCTGAAAGTGTGCCAGCGAAACTCTGCGGATGCGCGATACATTTCCCCAGCAACTTCCTGCGTATCCTGGACAATTTCCTCACTCCTAGGTAGAGTTTTCCTTCCTCTCCCCCCTCGAATATTCGTTGATTATTATTTATTGGAGTCGCCGTCGTCGCATTGACAACTTTAAAACACGTTCAAGTGTTTAGCACTTTCCATTTTAGCACTGGCTGTACAATTTTCACTGCCCTCCCCTCTGTTTCGGGAAAATTAGCAATTTAAATAATTTAATTACGCCGTGACCTGCAATTTGCGGCGCTAATTAAAACGTGCCGATGTCCACGTGCCTCGGCTAACTTTTCAGCCATTTGAGTTAGAGAAGCTAACCAAATTTGAGCGCTCCATATTCATTAGTTATGCGCATTGCCTCTGAATTTGTTTGCCTGTAAGTACACGTAGTTTTTCGCTTTTGGTTTCAACTTTTTTAAAGGTATTTACATAGGACGTGAGTTCTTTGATATGGAGATTTTTTTCAACGAGAGCGGGGGAATGTATCATTCGGCGCAGGAATCCTAATTGCTTTTGAGTTTTTGTTTTTATGTAAGCAATACACTTTTAATTAGCTTGTCGAGGTGAAAAATTAGGCACGAAATGGCAGAGTTTTAAAGTCAAATAATAATCTTTAATAGGCATTAGTCAAACATACGAAACACATGAGTAATTAATAGCCAAATAAAGTCATTCTAATAATTTTGCCAAATAAATATTAATTTAACTTGAAAGCGATTAAAATGGAACGAACAATTGCTCACATTGTCAATGGCTATTTAGTCATCGAATTTGTTAGCTAAATGAAATTTGGCAAATTGTTCATTGAGCATAAATATGCGGATTTTATTGTTTGTTTACGATTTGAGTTTCTGGAGCGGAAATTGATTGTGTTTAATTTCCAGCAGAGCGACCACAATGAAAATGAATATATACATTTTTTCGTTGTTTTTACTTGGCAGCAATTGCAGCAGGGCAACAAAGTAAATAACAAATTAGAGAACCAGAGAATCCGAAACTGAAACTCGTGTTGAGACTGGGAATGATGATACCCTGTAGTTGTGAAGTTAACGGGTATGAAGTGTTAGTCTCTTTAAAAAGTTACTTTATCCACGGGTTAACTTATATACTTTATAAAGTAGATTAACATATCTATACTAATATTATAAAGAGGTAAAATTTGTTTGTTTGTTTGTTTGTTTGTTTGTTTGTTTGTTTGCAGGGAATAGGCTCCTGAACTACTGGTCCGATCTAAAAATTCTTTCACCGATAGAAAGCTATATTATCGTGGAGTTAAATAGGCTATAATTTATTTTGAAAAAATTAGGGATCCGTAAGAAAATTGCAATATTGTCGCATATAAAGTGAGTTGCTACCTCATCGAACTGACAAACACGCTCCCTTAGCATTTTAACTCAATTTTTGTGTTCACTGTGAAATTGTTAAAAAAAAAGAATTTTTATTCAATTTAAGTTGAACTGTGAAAATGATGTGGATCGTGCATTTAAGGATAAAATCACCACTCTGTCCATAGTCCAAAATGCTTAGAGGACGACGTGCAAACATTGGCCGCAGACATCCAAGCCAGCAACAAGTATATTCACAAAACTTATGCGAAGAAAGACAAATGAGCACATGGAGATTATTGGCATCATTCAATCGCTTGGCATTCCAATATGACCCCACTGCGAACTTCAGTGATAATGAAAATTTAGATATTGGACCAATGGCGACTATATACCGATATTGCAGTGCGTTAAAGTTTAAAAGAGAAACGGCTGGATTGTGCTGCGCAAGTGGAGAAGTCAAACTGGAAAAGTGTTAAATAACCATCTTTCTTTACTTCCATATATTTGAAAAATGTTGCAACATTGACTTTTATGTTGTTAAATTGTGTTGACCAGCGAAGCGGACACAGGCCCTCTAGTATTTAATATAAATAAACTAATACATTTGCATTGAGATCTTTAAAAGAATAAAACGTTTACTTTAACTAAAGTTCGAGTGTTGGTCAGTGTTACATTTGGGTTCCCAATTTTAAGTACTGGGTATCTTTTATTCTTTATACTGCTATGCAGTCCATCCACTTGTTTTTATTTTCGGTTGCCAACTTTTGTGAGGTGGCGGGAAATGGCAAAAGAGAATTGCATTAACTCCACTTGAAGCGAAACCGCAGCCGAAAAGCTTTTGCCACAGAAATCTAATTTAGCACTCTCCCCTGTTTTTTTTTTTCTAGATGTCGCATCAACTGCAGCAGACACGTCGCCGTTTGGGGTCCGTTAGTGATTCCGCACCGCCATCGGAGTCCAGTGAGGGCACCGGCTCCTCCTCGGAGCCCAGGGACGAGTTGATCCTCCACCCGGACTGGTCGGCCCACTCGCACTCGTCGGCACAGAGGAGCAGTGCCCATGGAACCACATCGCTGTACAATGCCTCGGATATCGATGAGGATACCATCAGCACGGACACCACGAGCAACACAAATCTCTCCGACTACGAACGTGGCCAGGTGGAGAGTTTCTTCGGGGGATTGGGCACGGAGATATTCGTGAGTGGCGCCTTGGCCAATCTCTACGAGGGAACCGGAAACGATGGCGATTGGCGCCTGGTCTTCACTGGCATTCCGGTGATTCTCCACGATAAGGGCAACTCCAAGGCCAGATCCATGCCGAGGGTTACTCTCGTTTTGGCGGAGAGGGGTTCCTGCTTTGCCCTCTGGTCGGACCGGATTGACAACCTATCGAACTACAGGATTGCGGGTCCGTCGTTTCACACGATGTGCCGGTCGAGCAACCACCAGCAGATGATTGGCTTCAGCTTCGATTCCACAGATGCCGCTCGCGAATTGTGGCAGCATGTAGAGCGTTTGGTCAGTGATCCGGAGAATATAGCTCTTACTGTTCCCGGGACCCGGAAGCAGAAGAAGCAGAAGCGGGTGAAGCCGGCGCCGTTGCCGCCAAAGTCGCAGATCTCGCATCCGTGCCAATTTCACCACGTGACCAGTGTTGTAAAGGAGGACAGCGAACGGTACTACAGCATGCAGGCATTCGGACCCCCGAATCCCCAGCAGCATCGTTGAGTAGGGTCGGGCGCGTGGATCTGGAACACGAGCGCCCTCTGGTGGCAGAACTGAGCATGCCACAGTAATCCCCCGATAACAAAAAATCCAGCATTAGTTTCTAAACACACCTAGTTGTTAGCTCCATTTGTTATAGGCCTAAGTTATGCCAATGTGTAAGTGCGACACATTTATCTGTGATACGATTTAGGCGTCTTTAGTTTAGAAGAGATAACTAACACAAAAATTAAAATTTGATAAAGAACATTTTTAACGTAAAGTATAGTAAATAAATTGAGAACTTTTCCAAGTTATTACAAACATATTTAACGATTAACGTTTGTCAATAAGCAAGTTTTTGTAACACCTTTTTCTAATATCACGCATAGACACATATGTATACCCTTATGCATAATTATATTCGTACCATATAGTCCTTATATCTATCGAGTAATCTGTATGTCCACGTTCGCAGACAGTGCGAATTGCGAATGATTTTTGATGCCTAAAAAGCTTGTTTTCTTATCGGATTAACGACTAAGCCCAGACGAAGAAACATAAACTGTTTTTGAACTCTATGTATCATATTATATACATGCATATATATGCTATATAACACCTATCTATATATTGTACGTAGCTCTAAGCATTACATCATAGCCACTTGTCTGTACTCTGAACTTCATATTTTGCCTGTGCAAAACAATCGCGAGAATCAAATAAAGCTGACAGAAAAAAGCAAATCGATTGGCTAATTAAATGTTTATTGGTTTGAATTAAAGGTAGCCCAACTCCACTTTAAAATAATTATTTTAATAATCAGATTACTGACGCTTTCAGATTGTCTGTAGTTTTTGGCGCACAAAAAACTTGTTGTTTGAAATAAAATTAAATAACAGAGATTTAAAATAGATTAATTAGATATCGGAATGGAAAACACATGGCTACATATTTGAGAATTATAGAAAATAAATGGTATGCATTTATTTATTTAAACAGGACAAAGTTATACATTAATTGTACAGGCTTCAATTGCAATTAAATGCGATAAATTGCCAACTACTCTATTTAATCCCATCGCTTTTGTAACCTCTCCAAATTCAATGACATAATCTAGCATATCAAACTTCAATTTACCCCCATGACTCAATTACTTACCATTGAGTGCACTGCCAATTACAATAACAATTAAAGCCATTACGAGTGGAGAAGTGAGCCCGCATAATAATGCGGCATCCAGGGGATATATGTGTGTAAATGCATATATAGTAGATGTTGGATCGAAACGGGAGCTGTTTCTGAATCTGTTTCTGATTCTGATTGACCGATGGCAGGCATAAATGATGTTGCGGTGCACTCGGGTGACACCACACCACACACACACCTCTCCTTTCGGCCAATTGCACAACCACGCTGCATATTTATGCTAATTAAGACACATCGAGTGGCAGTCAAGAGTGGCTGGACAATCTCTTTTTGCGGCCTGGCTTGCATTTTATGGTCGCTTTTTCGTTTTATTGTTTTATGTGTGCATCGCCATTATTAATGCTATTATGGCGAGCATTTATTATTTAACGTTGGACAATTAAAACATCTACCATCTACAATTTTTGTTTGTCGCGTTGAATAATGTGCAGTTATGCTGACTTGGCCAACTCGGCTCCGACTCCCTGGTGGCTCAAATGGCCCAAATGGCCGGGCATCCATCCATCTCGCTGATGCAATGCCAACGCAATTGTTTCGCCGCCAGGCGACACTGGATTCCCACAGCAGAAAGTCTAATTAACTGCCGACCTTGATTAAGTGCGAACAATGCAAGGGAACTGCAAACTGCCGGGGAAATGGGTTAAAGACTAGTTAAATGGAGTGTCTCTAGATCAAGTGCCTTAATAGGTCAGCTCTCATGCGCTATTTAAGCTTTTGGGGTTTTAATGCAGTTCCCTTGAGAATAAAATTCAGACTAAAATTAGTAATGTAAGCCCACCGTATCATACATCCTGGGAAACACGAACAGGGTTCCAAATATTGACCATCAAAACGTGGAACATTTTGAATGTAATTTGTCTAGAAGTCTGATAACAAACATACCTTCGGTATGCAATTTTTAAAGTTGAAATTTAAGAAGTACATTTCGTACAATCGATCCATTGTTAATTTAATTAAACGGTAATCGATTTCGCCTGTCATTCAAGTTGATGGGTTTTAACTCTACGTTTACCCGACTCATACCCTCGGAACTCATCATACGCCAAACGCCATTCAAATACAAACCAAATCGTTTTAATCAAAAACAAGCTAAGCTCGAAAAATTCGGATTGGCATTTAACTTTGTATTGGTCGGTGTGTGTGTGTGTGTAATAGCCAATTCACTGGTTGCATTTTTGATGGGGCCGAAAGACTGCTACCATTGTCCGCAAGCGGAGCAACCGGACTAATGGCAAAGCAATCCGCATGATTCCGCATCTGCCATTCCCCAAAACAAGGCAACTGATCCCTGCCAAAACATGCAAATTCATGGACAAAACCATTCCTAACTCAACTCTCAACTCTGTGGAAAAATTCAAAAATTGCATTTGCTTTCGGCTTTGAGCTGGAGATTACCCCCACACAAATGTGCACGGGGAGAAAAAGTATTGCTTAGAAATACGAAGTTGGAAATAAAATGTATGATAATAACATATCCAAAAACATGGTCCAAGTATTAAATTTATCAATTAACCAATCAAATAATTTTCACATGAATTTTAGTTTTTTAAAGAACATTTTAGAAATTTCAGTTAAATGTTTCCACTTTTGTTAAGTGTATAAGTTCCTAAATGTATTTGGTTGTGGGTGCATGGGTGAGCCGCAAACATTTTGATTATTTTAGTTGACTGGTGCAAAAGTGCGGCTTAATTGTTACCAGCTAAACAATAAGCGGAAGCTTGTGGCTTTTACAAATCTCGACGAACTACAAGTGGGGGGATGGATGGATGGATGGGGAAGTTGGCCAAAATGTCAATGTAAACCCACAGTCAACAGCATTAAAATCATTTCAGATGCCAGTCAGGCAGTCCCCGGATTGTGATGATGATGATGATGCTGCTACCGAGTCTTTTATGCTAGAAAAAAACCATTAAATCCCAAGGAGAAGTAGATGGCTGCCTTCAAGGTAAGGCGTTGCCAGAGGTTTCAGATCCATTCCTTAACTTTCCCCACTGAAATTCTCCATGGCAGCCTTTCAACGCGTGTTCTGTATTTGTAAACAATTTGGTCTGACACCAAAGGCACTTGTGACCTTCCCGCCCGCCTTTATTCCACCCATCCAACCTTTGTGCCGAGCATATATTTATTTTGGACCCTGCACCACACACACGCATCGTGTTTGGCTTTGTGGACTTCAACTTGTCCGCATTTTCATAGTTAGTGTCCTAGTTTTTCCTAGGCAAAAACGCATTTCAAATGGCAGCTTCCTGTGGGCAAAAACAAGCGAAAACCCCAACCTCGATTTAAGGGGGGGGTAAGGTTTTAAAGGCCATAAAAAGGGCCAAGTTTGATTTTTTTTTGCGGCGAAATGAGTAAGTTTATTTTATTGAGCTTAATTACATGTTATTGTTTAACTTTTGAAGAGTATTAGAAAAAAAAAATTATTAAAAAATATTAAGAAATACGCCTGTGGCGGTTAATCTTCCGAAGCGCCCAAAGAAAAAGTTGTTTTGCGGTGAACATCATAGGGCGTTAACGGATCATCTTAAAAATAAAATGTGATATGCGTTGTAAAGATAATGAATTTCCCGAGGTAATCAGGAAGAGATTTTTTTAAATTTATTTTTTGTCTATTTTTGGGAGCACTTTAAAGTGAAAAGTGCGATTTTAGCTTAAAAAATCGCTGTTAATTTATTTTTTAAAAATAGAAAAAATTAAAAATTAAAAAAAACTCTTCCTGATTACCTGCGTATTTATGTTGAGAGTTTGTGTTAAAAATTTGAAAAGGATCGGTTCAGTAGATTTTGAGTTCTGATGTTCACCGACTTTCAAAATAACGTCTTCGGCAAAATCGATTCAAAGTATTTTTATACGTGAAAATACGTCCAAATACGGTTGTTTAAAACGCTGTAACTCTGTTAGTTTGACTTTAATTGACTCAAAATCTTTACACAATGTTCTCGACACATTGGTCATTCAGAAAAAAAATATAAAAAAAAATGTAAAAAAAAATTTTTTAAAACCTTACCCCCCCCTTAACCCCTTTTGAATTTGATCTGCGTGACACGGAGATAGAAAAAGGTCCGGGAAAATACCTATAAAGTGGCAATTTAATCTGAATTGGATACAATTTTAATTCGCGTTGTTCATCGAACGTTCGCTATTTTTGTTTGCTGTTGATTTTGCTGAATTGAACTCGCAATATTCAGAATTCGTTGAACTGGATTAGTTCGATGGGAATTCAGAGGTGTTTTACCAGCTTTAACAGAGAATGTTTTCAGGTGGCAAAAATAAATCATTTTTCCTGTTAAAAATAAATATCACTTTTTATATCAGCCACACATGACGTAGTTTAAATTTCCTTTTCCAATTATGCAATTAAGTTCCTGACATGAGGCCAATTTGTCAAAAGCCTAAAGTGTTAAATCAAATTCTCTACCATATTAATTATGGGCTAGGTCCCGACGACTTTTTTTCCCTATTTTCCTCTATTTTCCCCTGCCTGCATTTAAAGTCTGGTATAGTCTGGCTTCTCTTGTGGCTTATACCACACCTGAGTGACTGCGGCTCTAATGGCCGCATCTCCTCCTCCGACCAACTCCACTGCAACTTCGCCTCCTTTTCGCGCAGCTAAAGATCAAAAGTCGCCAAGAGATATATAGACACGGACAGAAGAGGAAGAAGAGCAGATCAAAGCGTTAAACCTGTTGGGGAAGAAGGAACTCAATTGCGAAACGAAACGAAATGCGCTCCCCGCTGTTAACAACTCATACAGCCGGCTCATGTGGCAAGATCACCGAGAAAATAAGAGCCAGAGGCAACAGGCACACACATGTGGCAATCGGCACCCAACACCACCCGCTCTGTCCCCCAAACCTGACCCCCTCGCAAACATGTTTTCTGGATGCGTCTGCCTTCTTCTTTTCACTTGCAAAAAATGCCTTTTGAAATCAGAAAATCACCACCAAGTGAACTACAAATAAAATTACACAACTAAAATTGTTTGAAGAATAAATGAATCAATCAAATAATGACGAATAATTATTAATTTCTTCTTTTTAAAATATAAATATAATGACTAGAAATACATATACTTTTAATCACAAATAAATGTAGCATTATTGCTAATACAGAGGATTAGTTAGAAATGATTTATTAAAATTTTATATTGTGGTTTTGATCGTATACTCAAAAAAAAACTATGAAAAAAACATTTGATTCACGAGATTTTTTATGCACATGTTCCAGTTCTTTTTAAAGTACATATTTTAAAATGCATATTTTTAAAGAATTTATGTTTTGAGTGCAAGCAAGATTCCTCCCACTTTTCCACGAGAACCAGGAGAAGTCAAGCGAGGCGATCTCGATGGTGCAAGTTCATTGCTCTGGGTGTCGTCTGCGGCAAGTCTGTGTGGCAAGCGATGGGGCACTACTTACAACTCACGTGTTGTATAATTTCGAACATGCAAAAATATGCATCTTGATTGACGTTGCATCTCCGCTGGGGTTGCCATGGGATTGGTATTAAAAGCGTTTACTGAACTTTTGATTAATTGCCCATTTCCCAGGCGCCACCGTTTTGCTCTGCGCCTGAACTTGGTTGCAAAAACAGGTTGCGGGTAGTCAATTTTGATTTATTTGACAGGCGTTCGTAAGCGGCAGGCGGACAATGCGTTTGACACTTTTCCTATTTGCATAATTTCGTTGATGGAACAGCGAACTGGTGGTTTGGCCAATGATTGTCAGTGAAGTCAATCAACCAAGGCTGCAATGGACGGGTTTATTATGTCCAGCGGGTAAGAGACAGTCCCAAAGTGAACCTACTGAAACTTTATATACATTTTAATATATAAAAAACATCTAAGGAAACTTAAATTTATAAACAAAGTTTTGAAAGATCTAGTATTTTTCCAAATGATAAAGCCACACTGCTAAAATGAATAGAAAACTTCTGTTTATAGAATGGATATCTATTTTAGTTGGCTGTTTTTTTTCTAGTACCTTAAATGGAGCTTGTATCAGTTGGCTTTCGTTAACACTGCAATGAAGTTCGTAGCTACCTGTATTTTCGTACTTTTTTTTTGTGGACTATATCGAAGGCTTAATCCATGTGACAACGCTACACGATGATAGTAAGGTGTTAATAGGTAAAGTTTATAAGAACTGCAACTGATATCTTATATATTTTGGTAGATCACCCCGGTCGGTGTTATCCGGTTCGTGTTCGAGGCAAGAACAAGGAACCTGATACTTATATACTTCGACCTGGCGAGGAGGTCAGTCACCATAGAACTTGTGGCACTACAGTTTGCATGAATGGAAAGGGACTGACTTATATTTACTAGTAAGAAATATCTAATAACAATATTTATACCCGTTACTTATAGAGTAGTTGTATTGTATACATTATTGTATATTGTATATAATGTATTTAATGTAACAAGTCGAAGGAACCACTTGCGATTTCATAAAGTATATGAATATGTTCGATCCATATCTTTATGCCTGTCTATCTGTCCATCCATATGAACGTCGAGTTTTCGGGAACTTTAAGAGTTAAAATAGTGTTACATTTTTTTGCCACGCCCACGCCGAAATCTCTACCGCTAGAGGCGTTTTCTCCAATCTGTGACAGATACTTTCCCAATACTTTAAAGCGAAATTTGGAGAGAGCTGAGTTCCGTTATTCTGTAACATACTTTAGAGCGCTGCTTTGAATTCTGAATCGTTGCGCGGTTTTTGTTATGATAGTGTAACCAGATGTAGTTTTCTTTTGGGCGCGCGTTTGAATTGTTGCGCGGGTTTTACATGAACTGAGTAACGGATATCAGATAGTCGAGGCACTCGATTATAGCATTATCTGTAGTTATTTCCTACAGTTTGGAATACATTTTCTATTTTTCAGTTGTCCTCGCACTTTGCCAAGCAGCGGCTGTGAAGATGACACGGCCATGGATTCTGTGTTAAAGTTCCCAGAATGCTGTTGGACCTGTGTCTCAAATAAAGATTGTTATTAAATTTAAAATTTTTCCTTCTTAAACCTATCCACCTGGTAAAACAGAATAAGATGATAATTAAAACAAAAAACCTTACATTATATATTCGAATATTATAAATATTTTTCAAGTTTAGTTAACGTATGTTAACACAAAACTGCAGCAAAAGAATTCAATTGGGTATTTTTTTTTTAAATGATTAAAAATAAAACAATACCAATTATAGAAAAGTGTATCCTCAATTTTAAGAACAGAACTTTATTTCTAGTTACTAGGAAAAATATAAATGCATAAAAAAGAGGGGGTGCATGTCTAGCAGTATTTGCTTTTGAAGTCGAAGTCGTCCTCGGATCCGGTGGCCAGCAGCTCCTCCTTGCAACCGTGGTGCAAGCGATGCACATCCGTGTCGAAGCACTCGTCGTGGAGTCTCTTATCCCGGCTCTTGCTCCGCTGTCTCCTCGAATGGGATCCGTGACCATGTCCATGCCCGTGGTGATTGTGCACATGGCTGTTGGATCCATGGTGATGCTCGGTCGGTGGGTGATGGCTGCTCCCCCCGAATGAATGGTTGCCTTGTGGTGGAAGGCGGTGGGCGTGGGACTGAGTTCCCTGGGCGGCCGGCAGTGGGTGGAAGGTGGAATGGGATCATCGTAACGCGGACACGGATGATCGCCAACTGGCGAGGCGGTCTCATATCGCTTGGAGAGCATCGTGAACTCCTGGTGGGCAGAGCACAAGGCCTGAAGACGGTGCAGAAGATCGGTTTCCGGCAAATCCCGAAGATGCAGTGTCCTGGCAACCGAGGTGCGGAAGGATTGCAAATGGGACAGTCTCTGATTGGCATCCGAAAGTTGGGCACTCAAACGGTTGACATCATCGCGCATGGACTGGAATTTTAAAAGGTAACTTAAATTAAATTATATAATTTGTAGATCCGATTTACTCACATTTATAAGCGCCTCATCACGGCATCTGCGATTCTGATTGGACTCGCAGGAAGACTTGAGTCGCTCCTTTAAGGCACTAAGTTGGGACAAAAGACGCGTCTTTTCGTCCTCCAAATCGCACATCTGGGTGCTCAGCTCGTCGATCTTTCTGGCCCTCTCCAAGGAGGTTATCTTGTACTCCACAGCCTCGGCAAGTTGAGCCTTCACCTCAGCGATTTGGGATCGGGCATCGGCCAACTGGGCACTCAGCTTGTCCACCTGCTTGGCGGCCTTCTTGGCCCGGCAAACCGCCTCGTCCCGTTCACCCTGCAACATGCACTTGCCACGAGCTCCGTCCTCAATGATGGCCAACTTGCGACGCAGCAGCTCCAAGTGGAGATCCCTCCGCTGGACTTGCTCCCTCAGAACACGAACTCTTCTTTGGAGATTGTACACACTGCTGCTATCCTTGAGGGGAATATCGTGACAGGATCTCTCCCGGCGCAGTTTTCCATGACCGTGTCCATGGTCACAGCAACCCTTCTCGGGACTATGATGATGATGGTGATGGGACACCTCGTGCTCGCAGTGAGCCGTGAGTCTTTCGGCTCTTTCGAGCAGGTTCTCGGCCATCAAGTTGGTGTCGGTTCCAAGGGCCGGTGGTGCCGAGCACTCGCTCCAGTTCATCGCATTGGCCAAGCGCTGCAGGAATTCCGATAGACCCATGTGATCTTTTCGTAGAGTGTGGATCTCCGCGTGGCATTTCTCCAATCGCTCGGTTAGCTCGCATTTCTGAGCTTCTCCTGAACGAAGGCGACATTCGGTGTTCTGCTGGGTTTCCTTTAGCTTTTCATGTTCCGAGCTCAACTGATCTCGCAGGGAATGCATTTGCTGGTAGTAAAAAAATATGTATTTTAAAGATCCTGTTTAATATTTAACCAAATTTCCTTACCGCATGCATGGCCTGATTTTCCGCCAGAGTTTCCCTCAACTTATCCTTGATTAAAGTTTCACAGGGTTCGGGAACATTCAAGAGATTGCTCAATCCCCTCAAGAACTGCAAACGATCTCCCTGAATCCTGTCCAAGTTGTTCTGCAAACGATGACAACGGGACTCGAAGCCACGCAACTCCTCCTTGAGTTTCTCGCCATTGATTTCCGATTCGGTGAGTCGATCCCTTTGGATCTGGAGATCCCTTTCGTATTGCCGACAACGTCCTTCGAGTTCGTGATTATGATTGCCAGCTCCATCGAGTTGGGCAGTCAGCCGTTGCTTCTCGATATTGGCCAGGGATTTGAGATTTAGCAGCTCATTCTCACAGGAACTAAGGGTATCGCAGGTGGAACTGACCTTCGCCTTGGTCCTTTGCAGCTCCACCATCACCTCCTCGGCCCGGGAAATGATGCACTCGGGTGTGGCATGCGAGTTCTGATTGCCATCGCACACATCCATTCCCAAACTGATGCTCAGTCGTCGCAGGAGATCGTGCAACTGGGCCTTGGCCTGCTCCTTCTGGGATTCCTCACTTGCCACATGAGTTTCGAGGTGTTGGATCTTGCAAATCAGCTCTTTATTTCTCTCATCCGAACTCCGCTTCTCCCGCTGAACCGTCTGAATGGTGGCATCGCATCTGGCCTGCACGGATTGCTCCCTGCTCTCGGCATTCTGGAGGCGACTTTGGAGGGATCCAATGAGAGCTGTTTGCCGAGCAGCCTGGGCTCTCAGATTCTCAATATCAGCCTCTTTGCTGCACAAGGCAGTTCGGGTTTCAGCTAGCTGATAGGGTGGAAAATTCACCATTTTATTATTTGATTTAAAGGTATATTTTTTAAGCCGTTACCTCCCCCGTCAGTCGCTCCTTTTTGTAGGACAACGCAGCCAATTCGCTCCGAAGAGTGGTGGTTAAGTCCAGTCCATGATGGTGTTCAGTGACAGTGATTCCTGTATTGCTGCAGGAGGCGTCCAGCTGGAAAAGGCACAAATATCAGAATCAAAAACATTTTTAATTACATATTTGCATTCCGTTTTTAACCACTTAAAAATCCTATTCACTTGATTTATCTTATATCTTTGAATTTTGACAAAAACCTACCTTCATCAAATTTACTTCATAATTTTTTCTGTAGAACTATTAGCATTTCATTAAAAGAAATATTTTTATTTAAATCTATGTAAATTGTATTCCATTTTCCTCTTTGTCTGTTTTTAAACCTTTTAATTTTTAAGGAAGATTTTTTTAACTTTTTATTATATTGTACATATATCTTTAAATGCTCCTTGATATTCCCGATCCCTACCAAATGATGATGATGTGGCGACAGACCACCACTGTGTCCCAAGTGGTGGTGATGCAGGTGATTGTCGCTGGGCATTCTGTAAGCCACCAACTCCGGATTGCTGCCACTCCAAAAAAAACCAGACGAACCGATCCCAGTCAGAGCCGCCGAAGGACTGAGCTCTGGTTCGGGGAAAAGTCCTTTCGAGGAGCCTAACAACTCCGCCTGACAACTAAGGGGAGTTCGATTTGCATGGCACCGAGGAATTTACCTCAACATAACATCACACAATGCTCGAAATTTATGCTCCAAGTGAAAACGAGCTCAATGGCAGGGGCAAGGGGACTTTTGGGACGGAGTTGGTTGAGCTTACACCATTCTGGCCACGTTTACACATTCGGAAAACTTTGCTGTTTGCTGTTTGTTTGGATTATTTGGGTCATTCACATGGCGCCAAGTGGCGAAGTATCAAATGCAATATCCACAGCGAACTCACGCACGCGAATGCGGATGCCATCGGAGTGGGTTTTTTCTGGGTGGTTGGGTGGTTTACTCCGTGCCCCTCCACGGTGGAAATTTCTATCCTGGCCGGAAGCGGAAAATGAGGTGTGCAAGTTTTGGCCAATTGTCTGCACTTTGCAGGGAGAGGGCTAAAAACGAAGACAAATGGGAACTAAAAATGTGCTGAACATTCGATAAGCCTGCCCAGGTTAATTATGCAGATTGGTTTGAAAAGGAAATTGATATGGGAAAGGTAAAATTATCTACCCTTTATACATTTTTTTGGTTATGAAAGTAGAATAGTATATGACACAAATAAAAAATAGTCTAAAAGAGGTATTGAATTCCTACTGAAATTCTTCACAAATAACTTCAGTAGTAATTGTGTAGGAAAAATGCTTGCAACACATTGTTGTTTAATAAATTGAAACTGATTTGTTATGACAATGCTTCACATGAACATAAATATATGTTCTTCCCATTTATATTTCCTTTAGGCTTTAATTATGCACCCTTTACCTTTTTTTTTAGCAATTCCACCCACCGAATTTTATGCAAATCCCCCCACAAACATCATTAGTTCCCCTAACAACCGCATAAATTTGAAACATAAAAGCCACCGAACAAAAGTCGTTATTCAATTGCGAATTCTCATAAATCTAGACTGATATGAGTCCTGTTTTATTTTTTTTTTTTGGCAATTTGGCGCACGATTTTGTCGAGACTAATTTTAGATTTGAGTGCCTTAGCGACAGACAAACCACTTACCTGGAAAGATGGAAGAACTGGTTGTTGCCTCAAAGGTGACATTGCGGTCATCCTTTCCGGAAGGAGTTTCGTGTCATTCTGGGCACCGAACAGCACCTCAAACACTTGCCAATCCTCCGGAGTGTTGCCATTGGTCGTCGGTCGCAGATTTGTTGGCATTCCCAGGGATTTTATCTGGCTAAACCCGATCCGCCTTCGACTGGCGGTGAAAAATTTCTACAACTACTTTCTATTTTCTAAGCGTAAATAATACACCTAAACCAGGCAACAACCACAGGCAAAGTTATGCGGCAAGTGGCAGGTTGCCACGGCGCATAAAATAACTATGCATGAGGCTCCATTAGTTTCCCCGATTCGGAGTGGGTGTTCCTGATAGGTTACTACGGCGACTAAACTGCACATAATTCGATTTTCTAAACTGCAAGAGGGAGTGGAACTCCCCGCAATCGTTTGCCAGTAATTTCATTTGTCTCCGCCAAAAAATAATGAATATGGTAAATGTTTGCCTTAACTTTGCCACCCACTCCTCCTCCTCCCAATAAATAACCCCACCAATATTGCCTGATCCTGCGGCAATGACTTTGAAGGTAACAACCCTTTGGGGGTTAAGTTCATGCATTACGGGGATTTTGATTATTTTGTTTGGGTTGCCAACATAAATACATTTTGTCGAGTATTGATGAGCTTCAGCGTTTCGCCGACTTCTTCTTTTTGGGTTCACTTGGCTTAAATACCGCTTCAATTTCTTTTACAACCGCATCCACGTCAATTTGTTTGACCTTTAAAAAATTAATAAATGTTATTTATTACATTGATCTGTAAATTAACCTTTAAACCCACCTCTTTTTGCTTGCGAATTTTTTTCCTCCGATGCCATGAGCTCTTTAACTTCGGCTATCCTTTGACGAAACATTACCTCCTGTTCCATGTACATTTTGTGATCATCCTTGACTTTCTGCAGAGCATACTTGGTTACGGTGCACATGACCTCCGCGTTTTCCAAATCATTATCCATTTTTTTCTGCCACTCATTCAGACTTATCTTGAGTCTTTCCACCTCCATGGAGTAAACCATTTCCGAGTTTCTATGCACCATCATATCCTGGCTAAGTTTTGTCTCCAAGTCTTGTAACTCCTTTTTCAATGCCTCCTCACTATCATTTAGAAGCATTAGCCGCTGATCCGTACAGCTGTTTATCCAGTTGATCAGATAACGCATCTCTATCGGATCAATAGCTAAGGTTCCAAATTAATTTTGTATATAATTAAGATAAGAAGTAGTATTAGTTTCTCTACATACCGCTAACATCTTCGAAACGATCCATGAGCAGGGTTTTACGATTCTCCAGGTCGAAAATGCTCGGTTCATCTGCCAATGAATGGGATTCTAGTTTATCCCTTATACGGCGATTGTCCTCTAGATCCTTAACCCAGGAAGTATCCGTTATGTACTTGCAACCTCTAAAGATAATATAAACTAATTATTTAATAATAATATGTATAAACATTAAAATAAAACCTTACTGTAAATATTTGATGCTTTTTTCGCAGAGGTTATCATTCAGTTTGAAGTCCTTTCGGATGTCGTATATAATTAGTTCGATTTCGTTGAGGTCAGCTCGAAATTTAAGGCAGTCCAGATCCGCAGCAGTTCTCTCCCTACTGAATACATCCAGATAAGTCTGGTCCTGGCCGAGTCGTGCCATAAAATGCTCCACAGACCAGCTGAACAGTTGGTATGGCATATCTTCCAGCTTTCCTGGCCAAGGACTCGAAAATAGACGCAGTTGCTTGAGCAGACGAACCGATAGAAACTCGATGGCCGCCTTCTGGCATTCTATATTTAGTTCCTCCAATAAAGCCGAATGCATTCGAAAGCTGGCCATAATTTCCTCCACAGTTCTTGTCTGGCTTACCCTATTGCGATGTTTGGCCAATTGGCGAACAACCATCGCTTCGGCCTCCTTTTCGATGGTTGGATCCTCCACCTCCAAAGGCTTTCCAGTCTCCAAAATGCCCTCGATTGTCCATCTGGGACTCTCTCGGCTCACACGCTGGTCTTCCTCCTCAAAAATTGTGCGAAGAAACTCATCGCGACACTTGGAAAGATCAAGGTGTTCCGGCAAGGGAAACTGTATGGCATGGGGATCCAAAGAAGTCTCGGCTTCTTCCTCAATCAACTCTTCCATTAGAATTTTTCGTGGCCCTTTTGGTTGATTGTCTTTTTTTGTTATTTTTTTTTTTTTTTTTGCTTTGTGTAATTGTGTCAATTCAAATAAGGGTTTTTCAAGTTTGACAAATAATTGATGTAATCCTTATAAAGGAAAAAATTCAAATAACCACAAGATATTAACTTTAAACAAGTATTTTAATGTTCTCTTTGGGAAATTGCAAACATATATAATAGTTCCAAATCGAAGGAAATGCTAAAACACTTAGAATTTCTCTCTTCAAGACTTGATCTCAGACTTGCTCTCAGACTTTCGCTCAGATTTTCGCTCAGATTTTCGCTCAGACTTTCGCTCAGACTTTCGCTCAGACTTTCTCTCTGACTTTCTCTCAGCCTTCTTCTCAGACATCCTTTTGGTTTTTTTTCCAGCATTTCCAGACTTTCTATTTACCGAAGACCCTCTTGACATTCGCTTCTCGATAGCGGCAACCTCCTAAAAGATATTAAAACCAAAGGTGAGGCCAAATCAGGAATACCTTAGAGTTACTTACCTTCCGTAGGCGAGCTTCCTCCTCTCGGGCTAAAATAGCTTGAACTTCTTCTATTCGTTTCAGATACATTTCCTTTTGTTCCTGGTAGAACTTGAGATCGTCTCTCAACTTTTGCACAGCCAGCTTGGCAACAGTGCACATGACATCGGCGTTCTCGAGATCGGTCTCCTGTCGCTCCTGCCACTGCTTGATGCTCTCCCTGAGATGTCCCACTTGCAAGGAGTACATTAGCTCGCAGGAGTACTGCACCGATTCGTCCTGCTTGGCCTGCACCTCGAGCCGCTTTAGTTCATCACTGATCGCGTCCTCCTTGCCGTTCATCCGCAGTAAACGCTGGTCTGTACAGCTCCTAATCCAATTGATCTCATAACGCATCTCAATGGGATCCAGAGCTGCGAAATAAATGAACACCAATTTATGTAGGTTCAAGAGATATAGCTCTTTGTTACCCGAGGCGTTTTCATAGTCGCCCATAACCGAATTTTGTCGGGATATCATTTTGAAGGAGCTACTTCGTTTGAAAACCAAAGCGTTCATACGTTGGTCCTTGATGCCTTGCAGGTTTTCATTGAGAGTCTTAACCCAAGGCGCATTATTGATGTATTGGGCACCCCTAAAATATCGGAAATGGTATATTTGAGAAATAAAACGGAAATAAAAGTAAAAAATGTGGAAGGAAACCCTTACTTTAACGTTTTAATGCTGTGTTCGCATAGATCCTTGTCGTCGCGATAATCCTCTCGAATTTCGTATATAAGTAGTTCGATTTCGCTCAGATCCTTGCAAAATTTGATGCAGTCGAGCTCCTCAACACTCCGTTCCCGATTAATTACATCTAGATAGATCTGCTTTATGTCTAGACGCGTCATGAAGTCCTCAACCGACCAGCTGAACAGGTTGTATGGCATCTCTTCCAGTCCTCCTGGCCAAGGATTCGAGAAGAGCCGCAATTGCTTGAGCAGGCGAACCGATAGGAACTCGATGGCCGCCTTTTGGCACTGTCGATTCAGATCAGCCAGCAGGGTCGATCTCATTCTGATGCATTCTATAATTTCCTTCGCGGTCATTCTGATCTTAGTTCTTTGACGATCTTTGGCCAGCTGCAGCACAACCATCGCCTCGGCCCCCTTTTCCGCGCCCGGATCCGTGGTCTCCATCGCCCACTTATTGACCACCGAAGTGGGCCGAAGTGATGATCCTGGCCTTATCGACATTGCCCGGGCCTCGTGCTCCTCTATGAAGGTTCTGAGGAACTCATCACGACACAAGAACGGATTTGTTTGCTCCGGCAGGGGAAAGCGAATTTCCCATGGGTCTGATTCGGATTCCTGACTGTCTTCAATGTTATCTTCTTCAAACGTCTCTCCAATCCTTACGCCCGACATTTTTATTGGTTTTTACTTTATTCCTATAGTTTCTTTTTGTATTATCTGTGTTTGTGTTTTTTGTGTTGATTTAAAGTGTATTAAAACGATTATTGTGTATTTGAAGGGTTACACGTTGACTATATATTATACATTTCGGTAAAAAGTCTTTACAATAAAAAAATTTAATTTTTAGATGGCTGTTTCTGGTGATTTTTAAACAAACCGCCAATCAGTGTTGGCAAACAACGTTTCAAAAGTAAGTTATGAAACAGCTGATTGACACGGTGTAAGAGGCAGAAAAATAGCCATTCGCATGTTGTCCCTCTTTGAATTTTTGAATGTGTTCGCTTATTGTTTTTGTTTAAGTTTTCCTTTTAGTTTTTATCAACGTTAGTTGCTACTAGTGCGCTATTACACAAGTGGCCTTGCAGGTAAAAAATAACCGATTTTCCGCCTGAGAAGTTTTAATCATCATAGCTTAAACTTTCTGAGTTTAGCCAAACAGTTTTTGAGATCGGACACACAGGTGCATCACCGTGCCCAGGTAAATAAGCTTAGTTTTATATTATGTGTTTGCGGAGGCTTGTTTATGTGCTTGATTAGCAGTCAGCTGTGCATATTTGCGTGTCTCACATGCACAATATATTTGGATTTTAATTGCCCCCTGCTGAGCACGTGTGTGTGTGTGTGTGTCTGAATAGCTAGCTTGTATGTGTGAGCCCGCAAAATCGTAGTTACGTACATCGCTGCGTATGAGCAATAAACTGTAATTGAGCCAAGGTCAACTATTAGCTTTTGATAATCAAACTTTGCTACAATTAACACACCCCAATTATCACCTTTCTCCCAGTCAATATTCATATATGTATTTATTTTGCAACTTATCTTTGGTAAACTATTCTGTTGACAGTTGAATTTTTAACTTGAGTTTTATTTGCTTTTCTGCGATCTATTCGATTTAAGTACTCCTATGATTGATATGGTTTCAACTAAGGCGTTAATAAAGACCAATCACGACCGGCAGTTTGTTTTTCCACGGTTGGGCAACATCTGCCTCCAAGATAAGACCCAAAATATATAGAGAAAATAAATCCTATTCGCTGCACATCAGAAGTCGCAATCAAACAGCAAACAGACCGGGCTTTAACAAATTAAGCAAATAACCAAGTTAGCGCTGCAAGTGGCGAAAGAGGCTCACACACTCACCCACTTAAAAAAATATAACTCACGGGACAGAATCGTACGCAAACACAGTCAGACCTCGCTACAAAAGGCCATTGACTATTTTGTAATATTTTTTAATCTCATATTTGTGCCTGGAGGTTTTTCTTAAATACTTAATTATCTTTTTTTTTAACAATAAATAAGAGATACATTTGAAAAAAGATTTTATGGTAGCAATACTTCACTGTACAGACACACAAACTGACAAATAAGATATGGAGAAGACGTCGACGAACTCGTTTCAATTGAAACTCAAACTGAAACACAATTCATTTCGCTGGAGAACGCGCAGCTGAAAACATTTTCCACCTCGGTTTTATTCGCCTTCTAATTGATATTTGTTTACATACGGGTTTTTGGCCTTTGGTCTTTTGCGTCTCCGATAGAGCCCAAAAAAAAATAAAATGGAGCAGTGGAACAATGTGGAGCTGACAAACATGTCCAAAAAGTCATACACCCTAAATCACGAGTACGACGCAGCCCAGAAATTAAACAAGGAGAACAGTGCGCCATCCTCGAATGGAAATGGGACCAGTGCGGAGGAAAAGCCTGTGGATGGGGATCTTCTCAAGCCAGGATCAGATGTGCGACCAAAAGTGGAGCCGGATGATGTGGAGAGCCTGCTGCGAAGACTTTACGGCATTACGATAAGCGAGGTCAAGGAAATTATCGCCTACGACGATCGCAACTTCTTCGTCAAGGAGGATAGGTAAGCCAAACGAAGGGAGTATCTCAGCCCTCATTCAACTCCTCATCACATCCGCAATTTTATCTGGTGTCGGAATACACAGCAAAAAATCTCCTTATGCAGTAATCGTTTCGGTCAGAAAGACAGCACAAAAAGTAGGTAGTTATCAATTGAAGCATTATTTTACAGAAAAATATAAATGTTAATATACCCTCGGATATTCGCTCAAAAAACTATTAAAAAAAATCAAAATAGTTCTCTGTGCTGTTGATCTGACCGCGATTTTAGCTGCAGTTCCAAGCACGACTGTGCAACGCGAAAACAAATGATAATGGGGCGGAGCAATGCGACGGCGTGTAGCATCTATTTATACCCCGTTTAATTAACGCTGTTAGTCGCGGCATCTAAGTGTGACGCAGTTCCCGGCAATCCGAACTCACCTTGCCAGCCTCGCAATTGTTATCTTGATGGATTCATGGCATTCAGCCCTGATGTAGTCAGTTCACATCTTCACTTTAATAAATTAGATTAATCTAAAGAACAAAAAAGCTTACAATCTAAAAACGACTATCTATTTGAGCGCAGGTCTCTTTTGGAAGCCAAACATGCTGAGCTTCGTTTGATTCTGACTCACGGCGCCCAGTTTGCCGTTCGTCTTGGTGGACTTGGGTGTTCCCTTTTTGGCAGTGGAGGGTTTACTCAATCCAACTCTTCGTTTGCTGGATGGCAGTGAGTTTTGGCGTGGCAGGATGGTTGACGATATGGATGAGGCTGTTTGCTCAGAACTGCGGCTATCATCGGATAGCAGAATAATGTCATCGTTGTTGTTTCTGTCTGAATCGGTCGAGTTCAGAGTGTTATCTACTAGTATATCCAGAGCCTTAATGCGTATTTTTGAGCTATTTGGGGTTGACTCTTCGTTTGATTCTAAGGTGGCAATCTTTTCTTGTGACTCCAGTAGGGATGATGCAGTGGTTTCTGTTTCGTTATTTTCCACACTGTTGGGCGATTCAGAACGTTGTGTTTCATGGTTACCTTCTGGTGGAATGCCTTCGTCTTCCAGTCTTAGTTTTTTTGGGCTTGAGCTTGAGCCCAGCTCTTGCTCGTCTTTAATGTCATTTTGTTGATCTATTGGCTCCTCCTTTTGGAGCCTCGTCTGTTCGGCCTCGGAGGCAAAAAAGCGACTTCGCACCTGCACTTGCTCCTTGGCGAAAATGCTTCTTTTCAGGGAATTAACTCTCTTTTCATCAGCTCCGCCCCCCAAAGGACTTGCTTTCTTGGGACTACACAGTCGCAGTAAAGAGGAGTTCTCACAAACCACTGGGGATCGCTGGGAGGCTTCCTCTGCTGTTTTTTCTTTGGCGAACGGATTGTGGCGACTCTTTTGCACCGGCGAAGGAGGAGGAGTTCGTTCTTGGTCAATGGATTCCTCCCTGCTCGGACTCCTCCTTCTCTTGGCTCTAAAATTGTACATGGTAAACACCTGTGCCTCCGTTTGCTTGGCCTTCTCTATTCGCTGATTAGCCTCGATCTCCTCGTCGACGGTTTTGCTCACAAAATCCACTTTTTTAAAGAACAAGGCACAGGACGTTTGCTTCTTAGGCGTCGCCGTGCTTTCTTTTCTAAAGTTCCCCTGCCAAATGCTTTTGTGTTTGGCTCTTTTCACATTCTTCGGTGTGGGCCACGCCTTATCCGGTGTCCAAGAATCTAGAGGCTTCAGAGAGAAGGGATTTAGGTTGCCCAGGGCCAAATGCAAGGCCTTATCGCTATCTTCCAGCAAGGTGCCAGCATTGCTGCAGTAGCGTTCGTCGGTTTCATAATCTTCCAAGGCACATAGACGCTGCATGCGGCGCTCCAGAGGATTGTAAATGAACATGTGCTTGAAGGTGGCCTCCGCTTTGAGGAAGTTCTCAATATATTCTTCATTGACCTGAGAGTGGGAAAAAATTGATTACTTTATTTAATTCTTGTTTAAGCAACTTACCTCCAGATTACGCATATTAAGATAACTGGGAATCTTCTTTAATGCTATTCGCATGTCGTCCTGTTCCGTTTTGAGTATAAATTTACATGCCTTCGCCAGTCCAATTCCAGGCAGGGAGTCAAGGTAGTCACAACCGGATAAAATGCACATGCGCCGGAACTTGTCGAAGTGATACTTCTCCTCCTTGCAGCCCATGGCTAGATAGAGTTTGTCGGCTTCCACCAACAGACCGCTGCCATTGAGGTCCAGCTTGAAGATGATCTTTTTCGCTCCGAAGAGTGTAAGATCCGAGTCCTCGGTGATGACGTACTGGGCCACATCCGCTTTGTTTAGCCAGGCCATTTGGGCATCCGCTTCGTATGGCGCCACAATGCAGTCCACGTTCCGGCTACGGCATTCCTTTATCAGCCGAAGAGCCATGTCGTGGGTGACGTCCACACAGCGACGCATATGTGATCGCGCCTCCTCGATGCGCCCCAATCGCAGGAGTTCCTTAGCGCGTTCCTTGCTCTGCTTCCTGGAATCCCTTCTCCGCTTCTCAGTCAACTCCTTTGCCGGCAAATGCTGGCCATCGAACACCAGGATCGGCTTTATGTCATACGATAACAGCATCTGAACGTACTTCAGGCAGTATTGGATATAAACGTCCGTATCCTCGCCGCGGGCTAATTTCTCCGCGCACCCAAAAACTCCTTTGTGCAACCAACAATATGTGTCCACGGCCACCGTGCTGCCGCGGATATCCTTGAGTTGCAACCTCGAGGATGCCTTCTCCACAAAGGGTATTAGACCGGTGATGCCCATTATTGGGCCAACAAAAACAAGACGTAAACAAAAAACAATCAATAAAATAAAATCACGAGTTTAAGCGCCAAAATTTGCCAGAAGCCATTTGCCAATCACACCAATAGGTTGGCATTAGTGTTGCGAAGCGCGACAACAAAATTAAGTCTTATTTTCATGGTCATACTAACATGAACATTGCCATTAACACGAAGATCTAATAAAGTAAAATTCGCCAACACTATAAGCCAGTCAACGGATTTATAAAATTCCTTTTTTTTAAATCGTGTTTATTTTTAATTTATAATTCTTACTATTTCAGCAATGTTAAGAACCCCCTCATTGTAACCCACTGTCCACATGGCTATGTATTAAAAATCCTTAACTCACTGGACTCCAAGAAAGTGGACTTTGTGGACGGCCAAAATCAACTGCTGCTCTATTTACGTAAATTCTTTTTCACCTTTTACCGATCCCATAGTGTACGTAATATTTTTTTTATTCAGAAAAGCACAGCGTCACGTGCCCCAGACCGATAGCCAATGCCACTGGAAAGTATTATTCGGTGGAACGGCTGAATGGAAATTCAAACGTAGTGCGACTTCTGGAATATATCCCGGGCGAAATCTTCCATCAGGTGCCGGTGACGAAGCACCTGCTCTTTCGTAGCGGGGAATACTTGGCCAGATTGGATCGAGCTCTCAAGAATTTCACCCACGAGGCCTACGAAACCCACAAAACCCTTTGGATGCTGCAAAGTGTTCCGGAACTGAGGCAATTTCTGTATGTGGTCAAGGATCAGGAGCGCCGTCTTATCTGCGAAGAGGTGATCGATGCGTTTGAGGCAAAGGTCCTTAGTTTATTGCCCACCCTGGAACACCAGATTATCCACGGCGATTTCAACGAACAGAATATTTTGGTAGAGCAGGCCCCCAATCAAACCGAATACTCAATCAAGGGTGTGATTGACTTCGGGGATACGAGCAAATCGCCGTTGATCTTTGAGATCGGAGTCGCCCTCACCTATATGATCCTGCAGGCCAACGATCTGGCAAGCGGTGGCATCTTTCTGTCCGGTTACACCAGTCTGAACCCCATTGATAACTCCGAATTGGCTCACCTCAAATATTGCGTTGCCGCCAGATTGGTTCAAAGTCTGGTCATGGGTCTCTACACCCACACACTGCATCCCACGAATGATTACCTGCTGGTCACCCAGGAGCAGGGATGGAAACTCCTGCAGAAGCTGTGGCGCGAGAGCTTCGAGGAAGTGGATGAGCTGTGGGCGACCACCGGTCATCAGTACTTGACGCAGAGCAATAAATAATTGTCAATTATAAGAATTTTAACATATCACCTGTGCAAAATAAGTTGCGAGTCCAAGTATTGATTGCATTTTGTTGCTTTACAATTTACTTTATCCGATATATTATTATCATTATCTTTACAATAAAACTTGTTAAACAAATACAAATACATTGTATGTAGTACAATTATTCTTAGGATAGGTGTGTTTGTTTTGGGCTCTACAGTGGTGGCATTAAATTTCGAATTCATTTTCAGTTGAAGCTTCATAAATTGAACTAATTAACGCTAATTACATGAATGGTGTAAAAGGGTGTTTTACGACGTTCCACCTTCTTCTGCTCCTTCTCCTCCTTGACAATATACAACTCTTCTCTTTTTTTTTTGCATTATAATTATCTTGCAATGCGCTTGGGATACCTGGTTCTACTTAATGCTACATTACAAATAACCGACTTAACACCTACAGAAATTTACAAATATAAAGGCGCCACTCGAAGGCGAGCTGGGGATTTGATTTCCACCGGACGTTGGCAGGCTCCTTATCATTGCTACCGAAAGTCAAACAGAAGACGTGCTGAAAAATAATATTTAGCCTGTGAGGCCTCCGTGTGATTATAGCTTTAAGATCAGGTTCGTATTTATTTTTCAAATCTTGTTTGCGTTCTTAGAGTTTTTCTTTTTTGGTAAAACATGAAACAAGTTAAAAGAAGATAATAAAATACAACAATACGGTAAATTTTTAAGTGCGATGACCCTAAGCAGACAACAACTCTCACACAATTTTTACACAATCAAACCTCAAAAAAAAAAAAAAAAATGGAAAAAATTATCGGGGATATACCTGAGTAACTCTTCGCAACACACTCGTTGTCCACTTTAGAGCATCGCCACGACATAACACATAGTATAAATAAAGTCAAAAGAAAATGGTTATACGAGCTAAGAAAAAAAAAATGTTTAAAAATAGAAGTCTACGAATTTCATTTTGTTTTGCCAAAAAAACAGCCCATTGAACATATCCTTGCTGTTCCTTTATCACGTCAGTACGGGCGATCTTAAAGGTGATAAAGCTGAGATGTATTATCAGATCTTACTAAGAGACTGGATTAGATTACATGTTGTTTGGGACTTAGTTACGTAAATTAGCAACAAGCTAAAGCGAAACTCTTTAGAATTTCTACGGATTGCAAGATGGTAACTAAAACTAATCATTTCCAGACCAGGCGACTAGCAATAGTTTAGGAAACTTGATAAAATATCTTAGCTGCAAACTATACATTGAATACCAACCAAATCTGTTGTTGTTTTAAATATTTCAAAAATTAACATATTAACAGAAAACTGTTTAAAATGACATTTCAATGGTTTGCTTCTATCAAAAAAAAAATGTATTTTACTTTTAAAAAAATCTTTTCGCCTATTTTATTACAAAATATAAGATTTGCTGCCGTGGAACCATATGTACAAGCTACCTCGTCTGATCTGGAATACATGACAATTTTACGATCTCTGGGATTCGCTACTGTTAACTCTGGTGCTCTCACTTTTACGCTTAAGAAATAATTAAAACTTATAAAATGAAAAAGATCAGCATGGTAAACGCAACGTCTTCCGCCCAATCGCCACTCGCAGCTCAGCTTCCGTAGCAGAATCTCCAGGAGCTGCCTGACGATGGCTAACGAACCTTTAGACGCTTGCGTCCCTTGAGAAACACGTAGGAGGAGTGGTTTTCTTGGTGCCTCGCTTCCGCAGCGGTGGTGGCCAGCTTTTTGCTGGCCAACGTTGCCACCGGTTCGGCCAGCGCCTTGGATCTGGCTATGGACGTTGTCGCCTCGGCGGCATCCACCCAGGGGACGCCGAAATCTTCTCGCGCCTCCATGTTGATGATGTTTTCACCATACGCCTGAAGCGGCACCTCGTTGACAAACTGGATGGCCTCGATGTCACCAGGCAGCGGGTAAAACGTAGACGCGGGCAACGGATCTAGCACAACCAATACCTCGTCTTGTTTGCGACGCGTCCTTAACCCTTCAAGCTTAATCTGCTCCCTCATGTACCGTGCATCCCTGTACTTTCGATCGATCTCGTCCTTTACATACTTCTGGTGTCGCCGCTCAAAGACAGCATCGCTGAGTGGCTCCGTGTTACTTTTATCCGAACTTGGCGTCACTGGGACATCCCTCCACTTGGGTATCTCCAGACTAGGATAGTCCGCCAGCAGCTCGTCGGCCTCCTCCAGGAAGAACTCGTTGTCGCAGTGGAACTCTTGATCCTCCCACGTTCTCGTGCTGTACGGGAACGTGACGGTGCGGAATATGGACTTCGTCTTTCCCGATCTCGCTGTCGCCCGGCTGTACGTGTGGGGTGAGCAGTTATTCACGGTTTTTCTGGTTGTGGAAGTGCTGCTGCTGACACTGCTATTGGACTGAGGTGTCAGAGGAGTTACTATTGGCTCAGCTGCCGTAGACACCTTTGATTTTGCCGCAGAAATTTCCGGTTCTATCGAGGATATGTTCGTGGGCTGCGGCGTGGAGCCTGGCGTCGGTGTTGTTGACGGCGTGGGCGCTGGCGTAATTGTGGTAGATGACACGGGGGCACTGGGTGGTGGATATATTAGGTTTGAGGCCGATCTCTCCCCTATAACTTTCTTGGGCGTAGTATGTGACCGACTCTGCACCACCTTTTGTATATGTAACATAAGTTTGTGCTTGGTTTCCTCCTCCTTCTCCTCCAAATGTTTAGAGAGCTTCGTCTCGGGACCTGATTCCGGTTCACTGATCTTGTGTTTCCTTGGATCAGAGGGAGCGGAGGAGCTGATTCTGTTGTCAGACAACACATCATACTGCCTTATCTTGACCTGCAGTCGCTGCTTCTTCACCGGATCCGTTTGGGTCTTGGTGGACTGGTGGTTAGCAATATTCTTCTGAGCAGGTGAACATTTCACATCAGCGGTGTTGGCCTTGAGTACAGAGGTTTCCCTAGGCATTGGATTCGGGGCAGCTGCTACCTTTGGCGCTACCGCATTCGGCAACTGCTTGGGCACATCCTCCGGTTGCCTATTGACAACCGGCTCTTTGCGCGCCTCTGCTGCCTTATGCTGTTCTATTCGCACATCCTTTGCCCGATCTTGTAGCTTGTTTTCTTTTGGTGGGTCCTCCTGTTTTAGCGCCGTCGTTGGAACCTCCTGTTGCTTCGGTTGCTCCTTGGGAACTTCTTGGTTTTTCTTTGTTACTCTGTGATCCTCCTTAGCCAAGTCCGGCTGCTTATGCTGCTCCTTAGGTGTTTTCGGCAACTCCACAGATACTTGCCGTTCCATCTCCTTTTTCTTCAACTTTACGTCCTGCAGGAAAATAAGAGTTTTATATGCGTTCTCTGCAATTTGTTCCTGATCCTGTCTGCGTTTTTCAGCAGCGCCCTTGGCGGCTTCGACCTCATTATGGTCAACCGCATCTAGCTGCTTTTCCAACTTTTTGTTCAGGATTCAGGGGCTGCTCCGTTTCCTCTATCCTATCCTCAGTCTCCTCTTTACTATGCTCCGTTTCAAACAGGCCTCTCTGCTGATGATTGGGCGTTGAGTGGGCCGAAGGCGCCATGGCCTGCGTCGTTTCCAACTCCTGGGTGTTCACCTGCAAGATTTTGCGATTGCTTGACATGATCGTTTGGTGGATAAATCTCAAAAAAACTTACCTGATTCTGCCAGAGATCGGCTTCGGCTCGAGAGTGGGAGTCCACGTTGCTCATCACCGATTGAGAATCGTCTTCGTTGTCCTCTTCATCGGAATTCGCTTCATCCGTATCCTCTTGATCCTCTTCGTCGTCGTCATCGTCGTCCTCCTCCATATGGCCGTTGGCATCCACAGATTGTGCTTGCTCCTCCAAATCCACCAGCTCCTCGGTGACCACTTCCATTTCAATGGACTCCAGAGCATCGTGGAAGATATCTCCTCCAACAACTTCCTCAGCCTGCACTTCTTGCATCTCCAGTTGTTCCTCCTCCCCGCCGTGATGGACCTCCTCTCGAAACTGGTCCTCGTCTTCCTGCTGCAGCTGCTCCTCCAGCTTCGTCTCCTCTGCCACCTGATCCTTTTGCTCCTGGACGGGATGCTTGGAGTCCTGGTTCATGCGCTGCAGGATGAAGGTGCTCACCTTCTTACCATTAAACTCGCCGCGGCCTTTGCTCTCGGAGCGTTTGCTGGCCGGCGAATTCGTGATTGCTGCAGCGTACTGGGTTGAAGCTGGAATCACCTCCACACTCAGAATCCTAGGTTTAGCTTCTGCTTGCTGCGGCAGCGAACTTATTGTTTGGGTGCTTGGTTCCCGCTCCCTAATCACAGTTTGCGTCTCTGCATTACAGCGGATCGGCTTATGCTGCGGAACAGCAGGTGGCAGTAAATGATCATCGTCGTCGTCGTCGTCATCGTCATTCCGTCGCTGGTTCTTTCTTCGCAGTTGCTTGCGCAGATCCTCGTTTTCGGCTTCCAGCTTGGTAACGGCTCGCTTTAGTTCCTGATTTAGCGCCATCATTACGCCTATCTTGGTGCTCTGGTCGTCTAGATCCTTGTCCTTGGCCGCCAGGCTGTCGGTCTGCTCCTGCATCAACTTTAAATGAAGCACAATCATCCGCTTCAGATTGTTGTTCTCCACAATGAGGGTGACCATATCGGCGCCGGGACCTACTGGTCCGCCGGACGAGGGAGGCGCCATGGCACCACCGCCCTCATGAATAGGAGGTGGCGGCGGAGGCGGTGGCATTGACTTGCGGTAGCTTTTACCGCCATGATTGTATCCGTGATGTTGGCGCGCTCTTCCACTCTTGCCGGGATGCAGATGTGTGGGATGCCCCTGGTTGGGATGACCGTGTAGATTCCTCTGATAGCCACGCGACGGATTGTGGTGGTAGGGCGCGTCCAGGTAGTTGGCCCGCTGCTTGAGCGGCCTCTTGAATCTGTTGTCCATGGCGGTTAAATGGAATCCTATGCCCGGCCCTCGGTTCTAGGATCTCATAGTTCTTAAACGGTTTTTGGGTTGTTTTGGTTTTGTTTGCGTCGTTTGGGTGCAAACACAGTACGCCGTACAATGCGTAGAACCCCGATTATTTGGTGCCTTTATTTCCACCACACTTAATTTTCTCTGTTCGTTCTCGCTGGCCGCTCTTTTTTGGCCAGAAACTGACAGTTTCAGCGTCTTAAACGTAGCGTTGTTGTCACACGTGCTGAACGCATTTAAGCAGCGGTTTTTCGGTTTGTGTTTGCACGTTCTTTTACCGCTTTTTCGACAATTATCCGCAAAATGAAAACTCGCCCCGAAAAATGCTCTTGGAAGTATGGCGTTTTGCTGGCGTTGCCAGGCCAGCCGATCCGCAGGGTTGCTCTCGACTCTAGGGATGACAGTTGTGCGTGAGTTTTCACGACGTGTTAACAATAATTTATTTTGCACAGAACTGTACCACAAATTTACATAAGCAAATAATTCATATGCAAATCTTTTCGGGAACTGGAATTTAATATAATTCTTTTTTATAACTAATTTGTCTTGGATAACTAAACCAGTTTAGTCCTTAATTGAGATTCAGGTCTCCAATAATAGTGCTGCCTTACGAAATATGTATTTCACTTCGCCTTTTCAAAAAAAAATATTGAAATTGATTAACGAAACTTTTCTAAGGGTTTTAGCAAAGCGCGTATACCTAGCGTATAATTTTAAAATTAACTTTTTAAACTATGATGTTATTTATTTCATTTTTCCTTTGTTGCAGTTAGAATGTCTCACAAAACTAAGACTAACTAAAGAGAGTTGCAGTACTAGCTGCTGGAGCCGTCGACTGTATGATCTTATGTTATGTGATATTTACAATGCTGTACAATTTACAATTAACTAACATATTATATCCTTAACCAAAATCAATAATTTATTTTTATTGCTTAAGGGGTTATATACCTTTTTTTTTAAAAAAACGAAAAATTTTTAAGCTGAATCCTAAAGTATATCCCCTAGAGAACATTTTCCCAAATTTTTGAAGAGATCCGAATAATAGTTCGATAGGAAAACAGCGTTTTGAGGCGCGGTACGTCGCTCTTTGTACCGCAACCTAAAACTTTGAATGCGATTATCTCAAAGTCGTTTTTTCCAAAAGTGCCTTTGCTGTGACCGCGATTGCACAAGAACTATTTGATCGATCTTCTTCAATTTTTTTTTAAATATTCGTAATGATTGTGCCGAGTTCGTCATTGAATCAGTTTTTATGCGGCAATTTCGATTTTGCAGATAAGAAATTTTTAATAAAATTTTTAGAGCTCGAAAAATCAATTTTTGAAAAAATTGTTACTGTATGCAGAAAAAACCAAATATTCTTGAAGTAATTCAATGACGAACTAGAAATAATACTAAACTAATAAAAATTTTTTGGTTTATTGATTTTAGTTGACCCGCTGGACTTCCATCGTGGTCACCACAAGCCGCTATAACAAAAAAAGGGTTATGAGAGAATTGCCATAACTTCGAAAGTTATTTATATTTTTTTAAGAACAAACGTTTGTTGTCTCTATAAAAACATGTACTATCAATAAATAATAACCTCAGTATCATAAAATAATTGCTACACACCTGAAAAAAATCCAAAGTTCCCTCATTTTTTCGCTCAAAAAGGTATATAACCCCTTAAACTTTCTGGTTCAAGACAACATGTCACGTTGCCATCCCTAACGTCTGCTGCCACCAATGCAAAAGCCGGATGGCTGTACAAATCATTTTCTCCGCCACCCACTTTTGTTAATTTACCTTCCATAAACAATTTAGCCTACATAAACGAAAATTAGTTATGTAATCGAAAATTGCAAAGAACAAAGAGCCGTCCAGTTGGCAGCCCTGTTAGCTTATGCAAGCGTTGCCAGTGAATGGCAAATCAAGAAGAATCAGAAAAAAGGCGGTAAAATTTTGTTAGACTTCCATTGTTGTGGTTGATTTTTTATGAGCGAATTCCGATAAAGTAGGCCATGGCGTCTCTTTTTGGCGACGATGGTGTGGATGACCTGTTCAATGACAATCTGCCTGCGGATCCGGATCAGTTACCCAGCGATGGCGAGGGTGAAAAGCTGTTTGCGGACGACGATGAAAACGGAGGAGAACCTGGTAGCCAGGAAGGTCAAAAAGTAGAGCCAAAAAAACGGGTGGCAAGGAATTTCCGACCACGGTTGACAGTGGAAACACTACGTGGACCCAGAGGCATCCAGACTATCGAAGACTATTTCAAGGACATCAAGTTTAAGGGCAAGGGACATGAGAAAGCCGATCTCGACGAGGTACTTCGACGCCTGCAGCACTGGGGTCATCGCATGTATCCCACCTACACCTTCGATGATGTGCTTAACAACATCGAGCGGCTGGGCAAAAAGAAACCACTGCAGGTGCACATGACGCGATACCGTCTCGGGCAGCTGGAGGAGATGCGCGCCCATGAGGCGGAGGCCATGGACGAGGCGCAGGATGAGCAGCAGGACGGAGCCGGCGATGAACCCTTCGATGAGTTCGACGCCCTGCTGGGCGAACAGATAGCCATTTCCCGTCTGGATCCGCGCACCCCGCACCAGAGGAAAATGTCCACTGCATCCAGTAACAGTACGCTAGCCACTCCGTCATTCTCACGTGGAAACGCTGTAATGTCCACGCCATACTCAGCGGTAAATACATCCACCTTGCACCGGAATGGAGCTCCGGCGGCTCCCACCTTCGACCGCAATGGAGCTCCGGTGGCTCCCACCTTCGACCGGAATGGAGCTCCTTTGGCTTCGCTGGACATCAGTGATTATGGCCATCCACTGCCTCCTTCCCAGCCGCCAACGCCAGCTGCCAAGAAATTATCCGCCGAGCAAATGGCGAGGATTGCGGAAAACCGAAGATTGGCGCAGGAAAGACTTAAGGCCAAGAAGCTGCAGGAGACCCAGAGTCCCAGCTGATGATCCGAATAAATTTAGGAACGTTAATTTGTATAATAATTATTAAAATAAATGTAAATTAATTTTATAAATGGTAAAGAAAGTTTATTCAGATATGTGCAAAACGAGTACATTTATTTGAACATTTAAGTTGTTGACCGAGGAAAATAAGTTAGGGTTCGGGCGTAAGAAACTACATGGAGTGCGAGAGTATTTACAAGGCTCTGGTCGCTGGTGATGGGTTGTGTGGAAAAGCAATAACCCCCACTTGAAGCTTAGCTTCGTTTGGGTAAATACTTTACAAGTTATAGCCTAATCGGGATACTATAAAGGTACTGGCGTGTAGCGGGGTATTTATTTTCCCATCTTAAGTGCTGAATTTCAAGGCGACTCGAGGCAGCGATTCAAACAGGCCTTTGGCTCCCTTCACCAACATAGCCACGATATTCATGAGTATCACATCTTTTTCTGGCGTGGCTTGCGCTTGGCCATCCTGATTTTTGGGATCCGATCGCTCGCGGACCGCCTCGCGAATCACATGCAACAATCTTTGATACAAAAAGGATTGCCTGTAGATCGGTTTGGAGAGACTCAGGTGATCGTCCTTCAGCAGATAGAAGTCCCCGAAATCTATCTTAGAGGACTCCTCCGTGACAATGCGCAGTGGGAACTTGAATGTGGTGAGCATGGTGGGCGATCCTTCCGCCACACTGACGACCTTAACGTGGCGCAAAAACGTGTGTAGGCAGCCCATAAAGCGGCGATGCATCTCCAGCAACTTCGGCGAGTTCTCCTCCATCTCCTTGACTTCAATGGAGGGCGAGAGTATCATCTGCATGTGCTGCTTCCACTTGGCAATGGGTGAGCCGCGGTGCGGAGTGCCCAAAAATACAATGCCCTTGGTATTCTTAGCGAGCTGTTGAACCTTCGGCTCCTGCGAGTCCAGGGATTTAAGCAGTATAAGCTTGGTTAGCAGGCCGCCCATGGAATGTCCTATCCAAACAATCGGACGATCGTTGCCAACATCCGAGGCGGAGATCCTTTCGAGCAGTGTTCCAGCTCTCACATCGATGTGGCCTTGTCCCTTTTCACAGGGACAGTATTTGGTAAAGTTGGCCGACCACTCTGTGACCGCTGAAGTGTAATCTATGCCGAGAATTCTCGAATCTGGATAATCATCCGGGAGCCATTCCATGGGCCAGCAATTCGTGTACTCCTCACTTGTGTCCTGGTTGCGCCACTCGGTCCCTGATACACTGAACTTTCCGACACAATCTTCGCTGGCATTAAGTGGAATATCCGGGTGGACCACCTCCCAATCCGAGTCCAACTCGGCCTCGTTTCTTAGGGTCTCCACGAACTCCATGGTGGCCGCATCGCTGATGTTCAGCCGCTGTTCCTCGACTTTCTTGCTGGCTTTCAAGACAGGATCTAAAGTTGGCAAAGAAAATGATTCATTTATGGGTAAAGCATATTAAGTACTATAATTTACCTTTGATTGCTTCTGTCTTGGGATTTGCGTTGCCATTTTTGGCCGCATCTGAGGCTTGTGTGGGCACCAACGGTTTGCCCTGCTCCTTCTTTTGCTTGTTGCCATTAACCCTTTTTTGTTCGCCCACCAGAAACACATCGTCCGTCTCACTGGTATAGAAGGCATTCTTTCCGTATAGACCCAGCTCGGTGGGCTTCCTATCCCGCTGTCGCCAGGTGATGAAAACTCCACCCAGCAATCCGTGGACGAAAACTATATCTGCTTTGGGCTTCCTGCGGGTGCGAACTCGTGGATGCAGTGGATAAACATTGGGCGGATATGTGCACTGGTTGGGATCGTCGTGATCAAGGTTGGCCATGGTCTTGGCCGAGATCACTTGCAGTCGGAGATCGGGGCACTGCTGCCATTCGGCGAGGGCTCCGACCCAACCGGACGAAAAGAAATGCTCGACTGCATCGGGCACCAGGGACATGTTGGCCAAAACTTTGCAGAGAGTCGATAAGGTCTCGTTATCGTCGCTGAATATCTTCCGCAGCTCCATGAGATGCACAAGTCCGCCGTCTCTGATTATCCTGGCCGAGGCCTCGGGATCCTTGGTGATGTGGTGTAGGAAGGAGATGATTTCCTTGAGTAAATCCGTGTCGGCGGTGGAGAGAACAATGGTCTGTTCTTGAGTCAAGTATTCGTGGATGTCCTCCTGCAAAAAATAAATAATAAAGAAGTCAAGGTTTATTTACAAAGGGTAACTGATATCAACTTACAATGGGATCCTGTTCGGGAAAGTATTTGCTGAAGAAGTGGTCCACGCAGGACATGGGTCGCAGGCGGGCCAGCATTAAGTGGAGCTCGGATAGAAGCAATTTCGGGTTCTTGATGCAACCGCGTCGGTGGACCGGCATGAACCAGCGCGTGTCGGCATTGCAACGGGCCAATGAAACGGCTGTGCGGGCATCGCAGATCTGCGCCAGGTGCCGGAAATCCCAGTCTTTAAGGTGATCCATGCAGATAAGCTGCTGCACTGCCTTCAGGCGCTCAGGTTGGCTGCCCGTTTGGGCAATGTTAAGCAGTCGCCAGGCCACCGAGTGCTTCGCTGACTTCCACCATTTGCCAATCGGATTGATTATCACGCTAATCCACTTCTTCTCGTCCTCCTCCTTCTGCTTTAGCTTTCGCATGGACTCGCGGTAGATGTGGTACTTGATGTAGATGTACTCGGCACGTCGCTTGTCCGGTTCCGGGGATTTCTTGTCCACATATTGGGAAAGGAACCTGCGCACCTGCGGCGACTCGTACAGCAAAAAACCAGCACTGGAAAACATAAAAAAAATCAAGATTAAAAAAGGGACTATCCTTAGTCCTTATCAATCCTAACTTCCGTTTTATTTAACAAGTTGTTGTTCTTCTTTTTAAATTAATTGACCTTAAATAACAACAACACAAATTGCTGCCAACTATTTGTTATTGAGGTAAAAGTAAGATAAACAACAACAACGAACCCGAAGACTAGTTTGTTTATTTACAAAAAGTGGGCGCGTCACCTCCGAGTGCAAAAACAACTATTACACCACCCAATCACCAAAAGTCAAAAACACGCGCCACAATCCCCAAACAAATAAGTAAACCCTATATTATCACTTGTGATAAGGAGATCTATAAATTCGCGGGGGGTTCTTGCAAATATTTTTAAACTGCGCACTATTATGGCGCCATGATAGTTTTGGCAGCTCGAATTTGCTCAGTGTTTTTTTCGCTTTTTTGGTGGGGCCTTGCACAGCTGTTAACGCACACGCTAAACAAGAAGAAGCGATGGCAAAAACAAAAACTTTAACAGCTTGCTATCTCACTTTTACAAAATCGTACGTTTTGTTTTGATCGTGTTTGGTGAGAAAATAAAAGAGTCAGGCCATAAGTGCCTATAGGAGACTAAAAAATACTCTACCAATTAAATTGTATTTCAAAAGTAAACCGAAAAGAACCCAAACATATATTTGATAAATACAAGATATTTTTTATTAAATTAATTGTTATTAAATGTCTTGCCCTCACTCATAAAACCTTTTAATTAAAACTAAAATTGTTTTAGCTCTACAGTAGAAATTAAAAAAAACCTGTAGTAATACTTCAGTTATTGTCAACTTATTTGCTTAATATCACACCACCAAACCCTTTTGTTTATGGTCATTAGGTATTATAGCTTACAGCCTGATTAATCATCGCGTAATTTGTTGTAAACAAATGACGTCACAGGTGCGACAAGGCCTGTTTAGTAGAGGGAATGCGGAAAACAAGATCTGTTGTTGTTATTGTTTTTCTCGATATATATATGTATGTAGTATATCTAGATCGTACGACTTATTCTGGGCCATGTGGCGCCTTTTAAAAAAAAAGAAATAAGAATAATGAAAACGTGTGCAGACGAGCCCCCTAAATCACATTGTTCATTGTAATAGTTGTAAGTGGGTCAATGGGAGGTGTTTTTCGATTCCTTTTTTTTCGCTGCACAGAGAAAAAATTTGAGTATTGATCAGAAATTTGTTGGTTTTAAATTTCAATTTACTAAGGACTTAAAAAAAAAAAGGAAAGCAAAAAAAATATTAAAATGGGAAAGACAGTAGTAAGTAGCGAAAAGATTATCAATTTATGAGTACTTTTTTTTGTGTATGCTGACAACAGCTGCTCCAGATAAGGGTTTGTTGTGGTTTTCACGGGCTTATATGGAGTGATTCACTTACGCAGTAAGGAGGCCCACTCCTCCGAGGCCCACTAACTTTGGATGACGGCGCAACTTGGACTTGAGATCCTCCAATGACATTGCCTGGTTTCTCGGGATGTTGTTGTTTCTTTGTTTTATCGTGTAGCACTACGGCACACAGCAACTGAATTTGTTTTTCGATCGGTTGCCAAAAGTTTGCTCTGTTTCTCACACTTTAAATTTAGATGATTGTGTCACACTGGGCCCCTACTAGTTGTATCACTGGGGCAATTAGAATTTCGCTTTTTAGCTGTCACTTTGTTGTTTACGATTTGTGGTTTGCTTTTGGTTTGGCTTGAGCTGCTATTGCTGGCGAACCCTTCGAGGTTTTCGTTTTTATTAACGTTGGGGTCGGTGTGACCGTAAGCGCTGAGAGATTCGAATCTGTTTCAGCTGACGTCATTCACAGCGAGACGTTGACAGCTGATTGTAAGAAAGAGAGGGAATTGTTATGGAAGGGTGCAAGCATTTTATCAAGGGGTTTTGATTTAATAAAGGTTTTGGGAACTTGTTAATTTAACAAAACTACCAACCTGTTTTTTTTAAATTAACAATTTCCCAAAACTGTAATGACTAAGAAAACAAAAATAAAGAAAGTATTTTATTTATAGTTTTTTTTGCAATTTTTCAATGTTAAAGAACAACGTTTTATGTATTAAAATAGATCATTCAACAGTTCATCGGAAATAAATACAAAATTATGGAAAAAATTGAGATATATATTCAATAGATTCCGAATTTGAAATTTTCTGTGGGGCCGTTTCCTTTTTTTGTTTTTTCCCACCTTGTGGCTGTCGGCAGTCACAGCAAAACGCTTTTGCACAGCTGACTGATAACACGAAGGGGAGGGAGTGCGAAAAACCATTGGCGTGGGAAGGAATTCTTTTTGGGGTATATTTAGTTTGAACTACAATTTGTTTGCTCGTATTTAATTAAAGCAGCACCATCAGCTTGATGTAAAATGTCCTAGATCTCGATTTGCAAACGCCGCGTTCATTGATTGTTTCGAGTTTAGTTGCGGTAGCCGATTATCCGATGGATTTTCTCGTTTGAGACAGACAGCGCGACGTCGGACATAAATAAAAAGCTTTGGGTGCCAGGTGGGTGGTGTTTTGCTACTGGAGCTCCCCTGAAAAACAAATTGGAGGGAAACCGTTTGCCTGTCCCTTAAAAGGTCATAAAACTTAATTTGCAGAAAGCAATAAACCTAAAAGGGCAGCGTAAAGATGAAGATACATTTTCGGGAACAATACGGTCGGAAGGGGGAGGAAATCCTCTATGTGACGCCAGCAGGTGAGCAAATCGATCAAACCAACAAAGCCCGGAATACCTGGCAAACCACTTATTCCTATGGCAGCTATACAGCTAGCTCAAAGCAAACGTCACCAAAGCATTCCATTAACGTGTTAAAGATATAGTATAAAACACAAATGTAGTTATTTATTAATTAGAAGAACTAATCTATAAATATATTTGTTTCACTTAATTATTTGACATGAATTTGCTTTAGCCGGATTACTAACTTTTTCTAGAAAGATTTAAAACCATATAACGCCAATTCAAATTTATATATTTTAGATCAGAGCAACATTGTAAGGGTACCGCTGCGTGGAGATAAGCTGGTCATCCAGGAGAAGTTCCTGCTTTTTCGCGTGCTGCAGAAGGTCTTCCTACCTAAGGGATATCCGGATAGTGTTAGCGAGGATTACGCCGCATATCAAATCTGGGACACGGCTCAGGCCTTCTGCAGTACCATTTGTGGAACCCTGTGCACCCATGCCATTCTAAAGGGAATCGGCGTGGGAAGTGAGAACATCAATGCGTTTTCCGCCACAGTCACATGGATTTTGAAGGAGGGCAGTGGACACGTAGGTCGTATACTCTTTGCCTGGTGGCAGGGATCACAGCTGGATGTGGACTCAAAGAAATGGCGACTGCGAGCGGATTTTCTCAACGACCTCGCCATGGGCATCGAGATCTATGTGCTTCCCAAGTATCCGCATTTCAGCACCCAAATCCTGTGCTGTTCCACTCTGCTCAAGGCGATTGTGGGCGTGGCTGGGGGCGCTACAAGAGCGGCGTTGACCCAACATCATGCATTGAGAGGTAATCTGGCTGATGTGGCCTCCAAGGATAGTTCACAGGAGACGTGTGTGAACTTGGTAGCCTCATTTGTGGGACTGTATCTTCTTTCGCTGATCAAGAGCCAGGCTGTATTGTACACCATCTTCTACATTGTGGTTAGTCTGCATCTTTACTTCAATCTCAAAGCGGTAAGAGCAGTTTGCTTGCGGACCTTCAACGAGTCGCGCTATCTGATTGCACTGGAGGAGTTTTTTCGGTCATCAAGGATGCTCAATCCACAGCAGGTTAGTAATTAATTTATATTCATAGAAGATATAGTCCCTTAAACTAAATCTATTTACAGGTTAATGCGATGGAACGGGTCACAGTTGGTCAGACCGTCTCTGTATCTCTAAACATAAAACTGGGACTGAGCGTAAAGAATCTGATTGACGAGTATAAGAGCAGTAGCGTCATCGAGAACATAGTGTCCTCCTTCGATCCCCACGAACACTTTATCATAGCCGAGACCAAAAAATGCCTGGGCGTGTATCTGCACTTCGAAACGCGTTCGCAGGATGTGCTCAAGGCATATTTCTTTGCAGTGTCCTATCTGCAGGATAGAAATCAGATCAAAGAGAAGTACTGGGACATACAGACTAAGTGGCAGGAGTTTCTGGCGCTGGCGCAGCAAGAGGGTAAGAACAAATAATGACTAATACATATACTAAAAATTTAACTAAACTTTATTTTGATTCTCAGGTTGGCTAATTCATCAGCATTTACTACTTGTTGACGAGTTCCGTTTGGACTGGAAAGTGTAGAAAGATGCTAATCTTGATTGCTTAAACTTATACTGAGTTGCTTGCTTCGACCTGAAAAATTGATTACATTCAGACTTCATTATCATTCTCACATATCTCACATGGATAGCATATAGCGAAAACGAAAACATTGATATTAACTAAGTGCTATTGATATTCACCTAGATTTAGCTTTGTGAAACTCGTTCGCACTCGAACATCTTCCAACTAACTCTGCCTTAGCACAAAGTAATGTTTGTAACCGATATTTGATAAGATATTTTACCCCCGCTTTTACCCATGAATTTATCAGACATTATTTCAATTACTAGTTGCTACTCGAAGGGAAACTGAAAGAAACACAAGAATCTATTTTGTAAGGACTTATTGTAAGTACGCATTTCGATATTTCGAAGGCATACTGTAGTTTTTTAGATTATAATCACGGAAAATCTCACAACGAACTACGGAAAAGACAGCTTGCAGTCTTGTCCAAAAGTGTACAAAGTTTTAAGCTTCTTAAATGCTAAACGTGCAATATTAATTTAATTATTAGCTTCGAATATCTACGGAATAAGTTGGCGTCCATTTTAGCTTAGCCATATTGCTTTTCAATTAAGGCAAAATATGAATTATGTGCATACCGTCTCACCACGCAAATGATTTTAATGAAACAAATAATAAAATAAAAAAGATTTTTAAGAATATTAAAATTTCAATTTTATTTTAAAAAATATTTAATTTGTTGTTTCCGTTAAATATCCAATTTTAAAACCTCAGATATTCAACCATTCAGCGCGAAGGTCTTGTGTGAATGGTCTTTTGCAAAGAAGAAGACAACACGTGCGCGTATTCAACGTGTTTTTTAGTTTACTTCTTGATTTCATCGAATTTGGTTGATTTTCACAAAATCTTGTTTGTCAATTGTTTTGGTTAAAAATGGAAAGCGAGCAGCCAACGGCTGTAAAGGCCCCGTCCTTTAGTGAAGAGGCACAAGCTGCTGAAACACCTATTGAAACAGGAAAACAAATCGCTACCGAACCAGACCTATCAACAGATAAGGTGCAAACAAAGCCTACAGGTAAGCGCTAGAGCTTTTTACAAGATAAAAGTAACAAAAACTTTGGCATTCCAATACAGAAACTACAGGTGCAATAGAGCAACAAGCTGAGGACAAAACAGCCAATCAGTCAACATCAACTAACGCCCAAATTTCTGGTGAGGAAAAACAACAGGTTGCTGGAATGGAGTGCGAATCATCCCCAGCCATAGTTTCGCCAGGGAATCCCGTAGAGGAGCAGGAATCCTCTCAACAAATGGACTGCGAGGAAACCCCCTTAGACTCCCAAAAAGTTGCCTCAGTCGCTGCAACCCCTACAACCGCACCCAAGGAACCCATTCCACAAGTGCAGCCCGCTCCAGAGGCAAACCCAGATCCTAAGACAAGTGGCCTCAGTCTATTGGCTGCCTACAGTTCTGATGCTGAAGATTCTGATGTAGAAGAAGTTACCCCAGCCCACGACAGCGACAACGAAGTGGTAGAAGTACCAGTGACGGACAACGCCTCCTCCACCGCATATCGTCCAGTGGTGGCTGTAAGCTCGGCTGATGAAAGCTCGGAGAGCAGTAGCAGCAGTGACTCCGACTCCGACTCGGAAGGAGAATACCTTACCGTACTTCGCAAGAAAATCGATAAGCGCATAAACACCGTGGAGTGCGATGAGGATGATGAAGATCTCGATGAAGATGGAGCCGCTGGAAATGGCGGTCGCCGACGACAACCGCCCAAAGTGCGAGGGGAAATGCTCCTCGATGATCTGCCACCCATCCATCAGCTTGAGATCACTGTACCAGAAGACGAATGCGTTGAATTGGGCAAAGTTCAGTCGATTGTGGATCAGCTCGTTTTGGTTTCCGTACTGCCGAACTCCATGCTTTTCGATCTTGACACCGTTTTGTTCCTGGAGAAGGGTCGCAAGGTCCTGGGCGAGGTGTTCGATGTGCTGGGCCAGGTGGCTGACCCACTTTATTGCGTTCGCTTCAACTCCAACCAGCAGATTCTGGACAGAGGCATCAAAATAGGTGATGTGGTTTACTGTGCCCCGAAAACCGAACATACCCAGTTTGTGATCCTCTCCAAACTGATGCAAGTTCGCGGATCAGATGCCTCGTGGGAGCACGATGTGGAACCACCATCTCGCTACATAGATTACTCCGACGATGAGGAGGAAAGGGAAGCCAGGCAAGAGCAACGAAAGCGTCGCCAGAGAGATCGTACCAACTCCACGGACTCCGTGGATACGGTAACCTCGGTAGCAACGACCACGACGCAGGCCTCTTCGGTGGCTCCTCCACCGCGCCAGCGCGGACGTCGTGGCCAGCGCGAGAGCTTCCGGCAGAATCAGAGGCCCAACAGCTCGCAGGACAACCAGCAGCAGCCTCGAGATCAGCAGTATAACTACCATCCAAGCTACAACCCAGGGAGCTGGCACTCCAACTACTACCAAAACTACCATCAAGCAGCGGCCAACTTCAACATGCCGCCACAACAGCCCGGTATGCCCTTCCCAGTGCCCAATTACGGCTACGGCATGCCCTACGCTATGCCGCCAATGTATCCCCACATGTACCCGCCTCCACCGCCCTTTGGTCCGCCACCTCCCAACAACCAACCACATCAAGGACACCCGCCACCCGGCTAGATAATCTTTTGTGAATTATTTTTATTATTCCAATAAAAAATATCCTTAATCAATTGCGTGCGTGTTGTTAAAAATGTGTTTTTGGGTTCGTAGATAAAATGCATGAAAGGTTCATTAGATTTGTATAAAAAGGTACTTAATCTGTGTGGGATCATTAAATACGGTTTACATGTGTAAATACGTACGTATATAACTAGGTCTAAAATACGTGCGAACCTGGCTTTGCTTATTATCCTACAGCAGGAAGCACTAAGCGGTCGAAAACAACTTCAGTGTGTATAAATATATATGCTTGCGGGCTAATTAAAAATATATTTAAACATGATTTTGTGCGTAGGTGTGCACGTTTTGTATAAATATCCGGGTTAACAACAGTTGCCTTAAGCCGATACATGGATTTAACTTCTTTAAAACTTCTCAACTGCTGAGCAACCACAAAATATTTTGATTGAGCTTATTCGAGCAACCAAACAAGTGGACCGGGTTTTGGGAGCAGCCAATTCCAGGACCACGGTAGGCACGTGAGAATGTGATAAAAAAGGGAGGAACATACTGATCCGCTCCAAGCTATTTACATTACAACAACAAGGTAAACGAAACAACAATGCGGGCTGGTTTGGGTTAATTTTCGCAGATCGATAATTGTCGGGTCGGAAAGTAATCTTTGGGTACATTATATATTCTTTTAAGCGGGCAAGTAATGGGGATCTTTCGATAAGCTATACCAATTTTCGTTGTATCACGATTGTATATTTAAAATTTTAATCATTTCTTTGTTACGTGTTGCATTTCAAGATCAAATTATCATGACCTTTAAATTGTCTAAAGATATTTTGGCACTTTTCTCGTTTCAATTTATGCAACTTGATATGATTTTTAAATTATTTACTTTAAGATTACTTTTTGCTACTTCGGTATTTGAATTACTTTAAGTTTGTACAAAATGAACCCAACCCAATGCGGGTAACAAGAAAAAAATCGCTGTCTGAATTTGGAGTTCTGCAAATCCTAAAGATTTTCAATCTGATGGCGAGGCTTGAGCAAAACCACCACGGCGGTTATGTTGTCCTGCGAGTCCCGCTCCTTGGCAGCCTCTATCAGCATTTTGGGAATGTCGTCCAGCTTCGTTGTGGGATCCGCTAGGGACTCGTAAACGGTTTCGATGATATGGGATTCCGGAACGTGATCCCACAGACCATCGGTGCCCAGTACCAGAAAATCATGAGCCTCACTTAACTGCACATCCACGAAATCCGGCTCCGCAATCACTGCCTCCAAACTGTAGTCGCCAATAGAGCGAGCCACGTTCAGGATGCCATTTACCCGCCACTGACCTTGGGCATGGAGCACTGTTCCGCCGGCTGATTCTATTCTCTTGCGCTCATCTGGACTTTCGGGTTTGTGCGGTTTTACCAGCTGCAACTGGGTTCTTTTCCCAACTAACAGAGCCTTCGAGTCACCCACCCAGGCTATATATAGCTGATTCTGGGTAATCAAGGCACATACGCTGGTTGTGCCGCTGGTGATCTTCTTCTGGGTAAAACGCTCGTCTGCCAGCAGAAAGGTCGACTCGAAGGCATTGCGATAAAAGTCGGGGGAGCAATCAGAGGGATTTAGATTTGCTTTGAGTTGATCGGCGAGCAGCTGGGGTAGTTGGCTGGTGGCATAGCTGGCGGATAAGGACCCGGAGTGGCCGTCAAATACTCCAAAGAAACGGGTTTTTCGGTCGGCCAATCCATACATCTCCCCAAATCGCTCCAGGCAAACACATCGATCCTCCATCTTCCGGGGTTTGTTCTTAACTGCAGCGGATGTGTGCAGGGGTTCTTTCTCTTGGTGGCACTCACAGCTTCCTGGCTCAGCCTCATCGGCGAAGTCCTTGAGCCGATCTACCTCCGAGTTGTCTGTGAGTTTTAGGAGAAACTTCTCTAACTCATTTGCCACGAATTTTTGCAGCTTGAGAAGATCGTACTGCGGCGGTCCCTCCACGGTGACCTCGCACTCCTTGGCAAAGCACAGATCCTTTTCCAGCTGCTGTGTGGCTTGGTGGAGCAGCTTCATCCGGAAGTGCTCCGGACATCCGCGAGATCCCAATTGCTGCCAAATGGCGAAGACCAACTCCGCATGACGTTCATCGCTGGACACCTTGTACGTATCGCTGCTTGTACGGGTTACACAACTCCGGGTGGCCACCTCTTCGCTTACGGCTGCCGCCTTTTCCGCCGTAGTGGCCAAAAATCTCTTGAATTCCGCCAGGTGCGCACATTCCGACGCGGGAATCCCATCGGCCGACATACTTTTTGCGCGGTCGCGTGTGCCCCAGTTGTTTTTGCCACTGTTAGTGACGTCGCGCGATCATGTGTTAATCAATTCTAATTGTTGCTCAACTATGATTCACCCGCGCACTGTGCATCTTATGTGTTTTTATGTTGTTATTGTTTGCGTTTGTTCTTTTATGTTGTTCTGCGAACTGAACTGTACTGGCTCGATAACTAATCGAAATAATGTTGAAGTGTTTCCACCTGCGACTTGAAAAAGAAATCACCGAGACCACTTTTAATGCATTAATATTATCACTACTAATCTTTGCTAGTTGAAGAGTTCAAAAATAAATAATAATATTGATTTATTAACCTCTTTTAACGAAAGCCAATAAAACGAATCTTCTCTGAAAAACATAAGATAAAGTGGAAACAAGATTAATTTGCCCCGTTCAGAATACGGTCACATTACCGCCGAGCTCAGCTGATTGGTGCTGTTGCTTTTGTTTTTATAGCAAAACCATTTTTAATTTTGTGTTATTTAAATCGAAAAATGTTAAATACTTAAATAAAAAAAATCATAATGTCCACGCCACTAGAACAACAAACAGATGAACGCGAGGCACTGCAGTCGATTTACGAAGGCGATACAAACTTTAAGGAAATAGACAGCGTCACATTTCAATACAAAGTACGCCACATGGATACAAATTTGATTACCTAAAAATGGTTCAAATAATTTGTAATAATAAAATGTATTGTAGTATGGCGAAGAAGACAACTATAAATCGTTTCTGGTGGAGCTGAAGTGGGGGGAAAACTATCCGGATGAAGCGCCAACGATCAACATGAATACATTTTACAATAGAAACCTGTAAGTCGCTGAAGAGTCACCATTTGGGAGTTACTTGTTAAATTTCTGGTATTACTAACAGGCTGCCCGCTGTCAAGGAAGAGATCCAAAACGCCTTGAGTACGGAAGCCACTCAATGGCTGGGCTGTGGAATGACCTACACCCTGTTTGAATGCCTTAAGGATAATTTGGAGCAACTAACCGCCGCCCAGCCCGAATCCGCACCCACCGTAGCAGCCGTGGACGATGGTGTGAGTGCTCTGAAAATCTCCGATACCAGTGCCGATGCGGATACTAAGAAAAAGGAGCCCAAAAAAGAGCACCTGAACAAGGCGCAAAAGCGACGGCAGTGGGAGCGAACCGATCACAAAGGAGATCGGGAACGTGGCTGGAATTGGGTAGATCTCGTCAAGCATTTATCGCAGACGGGGGGGAAGAATTCTGATGCTGCTGACACTGCGGCGTCTAACGCTCCAGCTCTGCATCCCCTGAACCACTAAACCTAGCTACTTAAGAGGAGAAAAAACAACGAGTACGTCGGAATCAGAAGCCAATACTATTATAATTGTGATCAGATAATGAAGAGTTAGATTGTCTATCCAGAAATTCTTTATTATGTTGAATGACTATTAAAAAGCAAAAACTTTTGATTGGAAAATAAGCTTTTTTACATTTTTAACTTGGATTAGTCTTCTCACTATCATCCCTGCTGCATTTTTCGAATAACTGCCCCTTGCAGATTATTACTTTACCTATTCCTATCAAAATAGTAATTCGTTTTTTCCTGGGAAAACTTTATTGACATTTTAAACAGCTAAATAAAATCATAGTTCAATACAAAAATAAAGATCAAATCGATTATAATAATACAGGGATTTTGTTTTGCAAAGATCAACATTGACGAGGGTAACTAGCGATAAAAACTTGATTTCCAATTGTGACAAAGGGGTCGACATATTTATATATGTATATGTATGGCTGGACCTAGTTGAGCACTCCATCGGCCCGAACATTAAGAGCATCCAACAACGATCCCATAGGCGTGGAAGGACCAAAACTTTCGATGGTGTTGGCCAACTTGTTTTTCATGTTGCGTAGCCGCAAGGAGGCATGGATGAAGGTCACCGAGATGGGAAGCAGCAAGGTGAAGCCGGTCAAAAGCACTGCGCTAATCAGATGCAGGAAGAGGTATCCTCCCACAAGAGCTCCACCCAGGACGTACCACTTTTGCTGGGCATTCTGCTCCGCTGTGTTGGCATTTCCTCCGGTCAGGCGGCTGGCGATAAAGTTGTTCTTCGACTTGCCACTGAAAAACTGCCAGATCACAGCGATAATCAAAGCCTGAACCAGCAGACCACTGATGATCTTCGTGGGATTGAAGAAAACCATTAGAGCGTAGATAGTAAGGAAGAGCAGAAAGTAATTGGTTTGGTAATAGAGCAGATTCTTCACCACCCGGTTGCCCCACTTCTCGAAATCCTTGAGGTTAGGCAACTGGAATCGGGCCGATCCCAGGATGAAGTCATCGAGGGTGCGGAGAGGCGGCAACTGAAGATTGCCGGAGAGAGCGGCGGCGGCGTCGCCCACGGAGGAGGTCGAGGGAGCCGACATGGTTTTCTGATTCTTTCGGATTTCCTTGTTGTCCTTGTCCTGCTGGAACAGCTTCTGGTAACTTGGTTGACGTAGGCCGCGTGCGATGTTGCGCACCTCTTCCACGTTGAGCAGATTAGAAGTCAACTGCCGAATCTTTGGCCGCAAGCCAGAGTTTCCCGATTTTCCACTCTTCCCGGGCAGCAGACGTGTCTTTTCGTCAGCGTTGATCCAATCGTAGTTATCCTCTTGGTCACTAAATTGCTCAGGTCCTCGAAATTCCAGTGTAAATCTTCGATTTTCACACGACTCGGTCGTGACAATTGGCTGACTAACAAGCAAATGACTATAGGATTTCGGCGATGGGAGCGTGACTTATGTCGTGAGTGCGTAAAAAAATATTTAAACAAGTTTGATAGATAAATTATTATATTTTTCCCATTCATTATCCAAACATTAATTTGTATCTATGTTTCTATTTATTTTTATTGTGGCTTAGCTGTGTAGGTCGTGCGTGAGAAGTTGTTTAAAACAGCACAGCACTAGAAGGTATCGATAAACTTATATTCTAGCGTTGCCATACTATCTTGTATTTTATTACTATAATTTAACGCTTTTTAAAATGAATCAAAATAAAAGTACTCTTTTAACTCACTACGAAGCTTTCAGTAGCTGATTTAGTTTTACTGTGATTTCCCAAAAAGAACACCAAGCCAACTAACCAAAACGAAGTGATTTACTTTCCCAACTTAAAAATGATTACTTTTAGCTTCATTTATTCAATTCGACCACATTTAGAAATAATTCAAACTCTTTGTCAAGTAACAAGACTCTGGCTCTATTTCTGTTAAATAGACGGAAGTATAAGTACAGCTAACATAACAAAAATCCTTAATTAAAAGGAAACTAAAAAATGTGGTTTACGGAAATTATTCTGGAAAAAGACTTTTACTTATGTGTGAATGTTTAATGGGAGGAACGGGTGGGTGGCGGCGCGTAGATTACGAGAGAATCAACCTAAACATTGTTAAACAATTATTTATATTAATATTCATGATTAAATTAGGAATCGTTTCTCTGTTTATCCTCCGACTTGGACGTTGACTACGACTACTTAAAACTTGGTTCAAGTTTTGGTAATGCGTTGCAGCTGGTAACACGATGATGCTATCATTTGGTAGGTGGTGCTTGGTTACGCCTCTAGATCGTTAACGAACAGCACCTCGCGGTTCTTGAGCCCCACATCGTGAAGGCTTTTGGTCAGTGTCTCTTTGGCAGCCCCGGCTCCTTCGGCGGCATCCACTTCCGCCTTCGAGTAGAGCACCCGTTTCGGAAAATTCGTTGTGATCTCAAACTCATCCGGCGATTCGGGGTGACAGAAAAGATAGTGATAAACGTCCTAAAAAAAAGTGATATTGTTTATTATTTAGAAGAAAACAAGCAGAAGTCAGTGAGAGGAGATTAGTTTTAAGCTTACCTGCACCGAATCCGTCTGGTTGAATCGGCGCTCGAGGCGTGTTCCGCTGGGAAGCTTAAAGACGACGGCGATAGCGCCGACTGCATCCGCTGCCGGTTCAACAGGCACCAACATGGCCAGTTCAATCTTTTGCCGGGCGATTTCCTCCTTGCGCAGCTGCACATCGCGCTTCGCCTGCTCCACGGCCTCCTCTGCCTGTCGTGCGGCGTCCCTTTCCCGTTGCCGCTGTCGCTCCTTTTCCTCGTCTGCCAGCAAACTCTGCTCGTAAGCCTCGTCTTGCTGTCGCCTTAAAGTCTGTGTGAAGTTACGCTCCAAACGGTCCGCACGCGCTTGACTCAGCCACACCTCATTGGCGGCGGTGACCGATTGGAGGCGACGCAACAGCTCCTCGGGCGTACAATCGCCCTCAAAGCGCCCGACGATCATCATGCGGTTTGCCCGCAGGCTGATCATCACCATCAGCGGGTAGCTGCGGACTGTGATGGACTGCATCACCCTGTAGCCCTCGGGCGTGGCCACGTCACAGCCCCATAACAGAGTGTGTGTGTTGATGTAGTCAATGACCGATCTCGACGAGAGCGTGTTGCGGCAGAAGGAGTCGACATCGGGGTTCTTGGCGGGATCCTTGTGCAGGTAAACGACCAGGAAGCGCAGCTCCTGCTTGGCATCGTTCAGGGCCTGGGCATAGGTACCCTGATAGAAGACCGGGTGCTCGGGGTATCGTTCGTAGTACTCCCTAATGAACTTCATCACGTCGCCTAGTGGATCGGTTACCAAACGCGGTTCGCTTCCACCTCCCAGGTTGAGAAACGCACTAAGAAAACTCGACAGCGTAGAGTAGAAGTACTGGAACACGAAGTTAAATACGTAGCCAAGGATCCCGGTGAAGCTGCGGGGTATAGGTCCACTGGGCACCCGGCTCACTGTTCGTCCGCCGGGCATGTTGGCCGAAAATACCTGCTGCAGGAAGCGGTCGTTAATCACAGCGGGCGCTCGCACATCCGTGGAGGCGGCGAACATGGTGGGGCGACCCTCTCGGATGTTCAGCTGCTCCTGAAAGGCCACCTTTTAAGGAAAAATATAACGAATTATTAATTATGCCATGTGTTAAAGCTTACATAAATCTTAAAATGTATTTTTATGTTGTGTCCTTAAAAAATGGGAACTGATATGAGCATTGCTTCCTATCTGGCATCTTACGTGTCCCCATAATGCTACCGTCACTGTGCGGGCATATCAACATATGCGTACCTCGAGATCCCATTGGTGTCTGATAAGGACGTCGCGGCACACGTTCATGTCCTCGATGCCGGTGAGGTCTTGAAACTGGAGAACCTTCTCCGTTTGTTCGTTGGTAAGTCCGTCCGCTTCCATTTTTCCAGCAGTTGAAGGCCTCCGTTTCCCAGTTGTTGTCTTCTACGCAGTGTGCGTGTGTGTGTGTGTATATGTTTGTTTATGTGTGGGTGCCAATTGGCTGTGGCTGTCTCAGTGGTGTTGTTGTAGCCGTTGGCCTTTGTCCAGGATAAACCGTTGCAGCGGGGGGTGGGGGATGAGTTGCGTGGTCACTAAATGCTTCTACTGGTCGCCAGGAATCATTTCAACGCACGCCAAACAGCCACACTACAAGATATTTAACATTTCTCTTAAATTTATTTCTTTTTCGCAGGTGATTGCTGTCTCTTCTTCTTGCCGTCCTGCCAATGATCCGATGAATTTGGTTGTGAATGACAAGTATGACCGCACCTGCTGACGCGTTCTCACTGCGCGACTGCAGCAGTAAAATAATGTGTCTTTTATTCACTAGAAAACTCAAATATTTGATATTCCTATCAACGTTTGGAATTCAAAACAAAAACATTTGTGATATTGAAAGTTAGGTAAGGAAAGTCTTACTTACATATATAGGACTCAGATTTTTTTCAGTTACCTACTTTTAATGTTCTGCCAAATTTGCTAACTCAACACAAAACTTCAAAGACTTCATTTTGTACAACTTTTTAAAAGTTTAGGAGGGATTAATTTCTTTTGGTAGCAATATAGTACGAATTGGGGAAATAATTTACATTTTTAAGGAGGTCGAGATCGCGTTTTAGTTCATCAAGCTTTAAGTGCGGCGGGCACACTATTATCCATAACCAAGCAGAAGCATTCAAATTTGAATCGTGTGAAAATAAACAAAAATAAAACAAAATGTATGTGGTATCTACCTCCAAGAAGACCGTGCTTTCCGACTTTGTGGATCTGGAGACAAAGTCTGAGTATGAACACAAAAGCGGAGATCCGACGGACTTTCAGTTCAATGCCCAGCAGCGCGTATTCGTCGAAGTGGATAAAATGGCGGGTTTGGCGGTAATGCGAATAAAGGAGAAGGAAGGAAAGGGTAAGCAGTAGGTGTTAGGACTCAAATAAATTACTGACTCACAGTCGGCTCTTAACCAGCTCCCGAGATCCAGCGAGTCCGTAAACTAACCATCGATAATGCCTACTGTGTGGCCTGTGCCAAGCAATCACCGGAGGAGATCGCAGTCGGCCAGGGTGGTTGTGTCAAACTCTACAACTACCGAACGGCGCAGCAGATACACCGGTTTCCAGCGGATCCCCAGAGAAGCACTGTCCTCTACATGGACTACAACAACACGGATGAGTATATTGCCGCCGTGCGTGAAGGCGGGGAGATCAACATCCTGGGCACCAAAACCAAGCAGAAGACTAACACGTTCACCATCGATGGCGAGTAAGTTTAAAACGCAAAGAACAATGTTCTTGTTCCTGTTCTGCTCAAATAAAAGAATTTAAGTTAAGACAATCCACTGAATAATTACCCTCTGTTTCAGCTCCACCCTGGTTCGTTTCCATCCGAGCAAGCGCTTTTACTTATCGATCGCCTCCTATAAGGGAGCCGTGACCGTTTACGATATGCAGGGTATGCGGAAGATCTTTCACTCCAGCGAGGCGCACAGTGCTCCCTGCCGGGACATCAGCATGTGTGCATCGCAACCCGCGCTGCTGGTCAGCGTGGGCTACGATTGCAAGATAAACATATTCGACATCCGACGAAATCGGGCGCAGGCCTCCACGGATCGCTTGAGCTACTCCCACCCGCTATCGACGGTGGCGCTCAGTGAATGTGGCACCTACCTTTGTGCGGGAAATCTGAAGGGTGAATTGATTGCGTACGACTTGAGGAGCACAAAGGCCCCATTGGCAGTAAAGAGCGTGCACGATGCAGCAGTGACCCGGGTGGCTTTTGTGCCCTTGCCAAGTGGTGATGGACAACAGAACGGCAGCCTAAATAGCTCAGAGAACGCAAATTCACCGGGGATCGAAGCTCCTCGGGTGGAGCGAGCTCCCAGCGATGAGCTACGCAAATCCATTGCCGCGAATTTACTGAGCACTCAGCAGCAGCTGGCCAACTTGGGTTTCGGGGTAACGACGCCTGCCACTGCTCGACGAGATTCCTTCTGCGACTTTTTGGATGCCCAGGGTCCAAAGGCCGTGGATCGGATGTCCACGCGAATGGTCAGCTCTTACAGGGACAGCTTCGACTGGGAGACACTCAACCGGAAACCCATTCCCAATGAAACTGCTCTGCGTCAAAGCTTTTGTCCTCCAGGGGGATCCAATCTCAGTTCTAAAGACAACTCCTACAATACCTCTACTCCGGAGTCACTGCAGCGTAAGTATAATTCTAGGTCACAATTAAACTTTTAACCCAAACGGATTATCTATCCTTTGCAGAGACCTTGAGTGGCCCTCTAAAAGATCAAAGCAACGTTTCTGGCGAAGGTAAACTGATGAAGATCGCCGAGACGGATGAGCACAGCGAGGAGCAGTCGGTCAACATTTCTGTGGCAAGCAGCACGGGCAGCGACAAGGAGAATCCTCCGCCCGTGGACGCCGAATTAAAGCGCAGGTTGCGTATGCTCTCGGCCAGTCGAAACAGTACCCCGCATCATGCCAACGTTACACCGCAATCTTCGAACCATCAGCTAAAGCCACAGCAATTGCTGGCCAAATCCTCCAGCGGACTCTCCAACCAAGTGGAAGCGGATTGGCGCAAGGAGTTAACCGAGCTCAAGGAATTTGTTGATGAGCGTTGTGAATGGGTGGAGCGCGAACTGGAGTATATTGTGGACTTCAATTATCACAGGGTGATTAACCAGATGGCCAAGTACAATCAAGAGCAGCTGGATCTCACACAAGAAATCCGCGACGCTCTGGCTTTACTTCTCCGACAAGATCGCTTCAGTCGCGAATTTTTGCGCCTACAACATGAGAACGAAATGCTAAAAGCTAAAGTAAAGTTTTATCTCAAGCAGGAGCAAACCGAATCTTGTGAAGAATGATTTTAGTACTTTTAAAAACTTTTTATAATGTCAAAAATCTATTTAAATATTGTAAGTTATAATTATATTTAATGGCTAGATTTTTGTGAATCCCAAAAAAAATTTTAAATCCGCATAGCGTCTAAATTAGGGATAAAGTGTTAATTCAATCTTTATGTAAGGGGCTTATCACCTGTTTGAAATAATACCATTAATCTATTTTCTTTTTATCATGTGTCCATTAATAACTGTGTTATAGTTTGGTGCAGCAAAGCCAGACATTTTATTCGGTCTTTAAGATAAAAATAAATTTGTTGCTTTGAATTTTAATACAGTGTTGTCAAATAAGGATATGCTGGATTCTTTAAATGATTATGTGGGTTTCTAGCTTTACTTTCTGTATTCTAGCTTCAATTGATCTTTGGCCAGCATTATTTTGGGCATGTCCACCGAAATAGTCCTGTTGAAGTTCTCGTAGTCAACAATATAGCGCTCGTTTTGGGGATCGTAATGGATGATGTTGACGAATCGCTGGCCCCAGAAAATCTCCCTTGGAAGATAGGACGTCTTGGCCTCCGTCATTTGGGCTGTGGCAGGTGAAGTGCCAACAATGGATACGTACAGCTCGAATTGGGCAGCGTTAAATAGCTTGGCGTTTGTAAATTGGTGCAGCGGACTCGTCTCATCGATGACATGGCAAACCAAATCTGGCCAGAGAATAATCTGCTCCCCATTCCCCTCCAGCTTCAGTTCCACGTGAGTTTTTATGATCTCACCTTCACGCGTGCTGTGGATTAAGAAGATAAGATGAACAGTTTATTTATTGAAGATATTATCTAAGTGCAGTTGTTATCAGACTTAAGTTAAATAGTTGAGGTATTAAGGTTACTATTCTACGGTTCATGTTTATTGTTATAGTTTTTAACTACCGTACAGTATAAATAAAGTTCCTTCTTTTTTCGAGATTATGATTTATTATCATGACATTATCATTATTTAAAGAATCCCAGTTAAGTCAGAAGATCAGACATTTCCCTAAAATGCGGATGACTCACCGTTTGTCCATGATAAAGTAGACGCGTATTTTGGACTCAATGGACTGCTGCTCGCGGGGATCGCAGACGCGGAAGAGCAAACACAGTTGTCCATCGCGACAACAGATCTGCGTGAGATAGATTGGGGGTCCATAAAGAGGATTCCCTTACCATCGGGAGTAGCTACTTACCACCGCCTTATCGCTGAACTTGAGCTTGGTCAACTGCCGGGCTGGACGGGCTGTCTTGGCATAGATCACGCTCACCATAATGCCTTCAATCAGAGCAGCACTCAGCATCTGCATGACGAATAGGAATATGGTTTCCGGACACTCCTCACTGGCGTACTTCTCGCCAAATCCCAGGGTCGTTTGAGTCTCCACCGAGTAGATGAGCATCTCCACCCAGTTCCTTACACCGTAAATGCAGGGATCCACACCCTCGCCCATTCGAGCTCCACTCACTGGGTCAAAGATAAAATCTCCGTGGGAATAGGCCACCACGAAGCAGAGGGCGGCGAATAAAAACCAGCAGAGGAAGTAACTTCCCAGGAACAGAGTCAGCATATACTTCCACTCCACCTCCATCTGTGCGATTCGAAAGAAACAGCCTTTATAGATTACCAAAGGTTAAAAGGTTAACCCACAAGGACCCATATTAAACCCCAGTTTAGCAATGCAATGGTCGGTTGTTAATTACGTATTTATTAATAGGAATGAGTATTTCAGTGGGTCATGGCTTGATTAATGTATTAAACAATTAAATGCTAAACGTGACACGATCGCTCTGGCTGGGATTAGTCTTCGTGAGATGGGGACTCAGGTGCGGTGGCTCGTTGGCCAATTCATCGAGTCGGCGCTGTATGCTGGGCGTTATGCTATACACATCCGATCGCGATGGATCGGCCTCGGACGATGAGGTTTTCTTGTGGCCAAACCAGGATCTTACCAGCGTGGTGACAGCATCCCTCATGTAGCGCCAGGACTTCTCGGGAATCCGCCGGAAGACAACGTTCTCCTTGCCGTTCTTCTCCATCACGCGATGCAGGCTGCGCCTCAGTCCGTCGGATGAGAAGGTTCCCCCACCGGAACCCATATCCGGGGTCAGCTCTATTGTGCTGCCGGCCCAATCGTGTGTGTAGGGGAAACTAAAAATACATAATATATTTTAAAAACTAAATTTATGAATGGTTACGTTTTATCTGCTCTTACGAATTCTTCAAAAAAGGAAAGCTATTAAGTAATTAATCTGAATGCGACCTTCGACTTATTTGGACAACAATTTAGTTGAACAGTATAACTGCGAAGAATATTATTATTGGTGTTCTTGTTTTCAAAATATAATGAGCTTCTTTTGACTTTAAGTATTGTATAAGTTTTTTTCTAAGTTATTAACTTCTGAACTTTAAAATTCACTTTGTACTTAACTAAGATATATTTGTTATCCCAATGTGATCAATTTTTTTTGTGAATAGTTCTTTGACCATTTAATATTTTTTTTGGAACTCCACTTACTTCTGCTCGCTGCGTGTTTCCAGCTGATCCCCTACCGCCTTGGACCTTCTGCGTCGCACGAAACCCGGACTTTCTGGATAGTAGTCCGCCGCATTGACCGTCTCCTTCTCAGAGGATCGCAGGAGGGGCTTCTGCTCCAGCGGCTTGGGCTTCACGGGCATGGACGTGGATCGGTGCATTGGAAGGGATTCTGTGGTGGCAGCAGCTCCCGGTGGAGATGCGTCCGATTGCATGGCCGAGATACAGATATGGCTGCCTACGCAGATAGGAGATTACTGACGACAGCGTGGCCTATAATTGTCGGGAATTTGGGGCAATTTCACTCGGTCGCGTAGATCTGCGTTTTAATTTTAATTGAATTAGGCTGCATCGGTGGACGCTGGCGATGGAGAGAGAGAGCTCAACTTGATTGCCTGACCGCTTGACACTGACTAAGTCGGGGTCCATAGATACGTACTATCTGCCCCTTGGAAGACGTGCATTTGGATTTATTTATTATCTGGATCGTGGGGCATCTGACAGCGCTGTCCGCCAGTCGCCAGCCGAGATTAGTGCTTCAAAATGTGCCCTATGGTTTTCTGTATAATTCAGCCGCCGTTATCGGTGTATGTATTTATTTTGCGAACGATCAAATATTGTTCTAAGGCTTGCAAATATTGTACATTTTATCCGCCAGGAAGGCAACCCGATCTTAATAGCGTTTGTTGGCTGGAAGTTTAAATTTTATTTGTATAGATATTAGGTAAGGTTTAAATTTAGAGGGATCTAATTGATCGTAAGACCACACAAAAAAAAAAAGAATGACTTATTTTTTACTTTCTTACTTTTTAATTTTTTTTTTGAATTGTTCCTAAATTTTGCATATCAATAGCCGGCGATATTTCAAATTGTTTGTTTTATGTTTATTAACCTTTGAATGGGTGAATCTACGTTGAATAATTTGCTTAAGTTTCACCTGTTATGACAATAACTCTTCTTCAGATACTTTACAAACAAACACTGTTTATTAAGCTGCAAAAATATTAAACGAAAAATCAAATGACTAAGCGTGCCCTATCTATTGTATATATTTTATATTTATTTTTGTTTATTCAATTTGTAATCCTGGTAAAGAAAGTTAAGATTCAAATTTACCGGGTTGAGGAAAAAGCTTTTGTATAAAATGTAAAATTTATTTTTGCCTTGCATACCTTTTGGCGGAAAAGTTAAATATAAGTATATTTCTTAAATTAACTACTTTTCACATTTTTTATTGCAATAATTGCTCAACATTTTTCCCCAAGCCAACTCAATGAAAAATCGGCTTTTGGTTAATTTCAAAAACTTGTAACTTTTTATTTAAACAGTGGGCGCGTTGTTTTCTCATTATTTTTCATACATTTTTCGTCGTGTCATGTTTGTATATATGTACAAAAAATACCAATGCTTATGACGAATTTAATAATAGTTATGCACATACGTTCGTATTTATATATATATATATATATATATTTATGAATCTGCCAATTCTCGATTTGTACAATTCGATTTACACATATACTCGTAGTTGTAGAACATTTAGGGTTTAGGCATATTTATTTACAGCTAGATATTAGACATAGTTTTAGGGATCTGCTCCTCAGCTGGATGTTAGACATAGTTTTAGGGACCTCCTCTTCCTCTTCCTCCATCTGGCTGCTCTGCTATAGGAAATTTGTTTGTTGAAATTGTTGGTTTTGTAGTTAGGGTTCCTCTTCCTTGATGCATGTTGCTGGTGGCGTAATTGCTGCCGTTGTTGCTGTGGGAAACAGTTTGGAGGTCAGCGTTTTCTTCAGCTCCAGAATGGACTGCGAGTCCTCCTCCTCCTGATCTCTGCTCGAAGTTGTTGCTGCCGCTTCAGCGTTTGCCGTGTTGTCCGCCTCCTCCTGCGAAGAAGTGGGCGTGTCACGCGACGAGGAACACGAACTGGCCGCCGATGTTGCTGTTGACTGATGTTGCTGCTGCTGCTGTTGCTGCTGCTGGTCGTGTTGCTGCAACTGCTGCTGCTGTTGCTGTTGCTGCTGCTGCTGTGTGACTTTGCCCATGAAGCTGCGTATCTCCTCGAAGTAGGACTCTTCTGTGGGATTCTCGCAGAACCTGCGTATGCAGTGCATCCTTTCACTCACTCCGGACAAAGCGCTCAAGGACACGGCATCCGATTCGTGCTTCTTGAGATGCCTGTCCAGGTTCGTCTGCTGGCCGAAGCAACGCTCGCAGATCTCGCACTTGAAGGGTCGCTCCTTGTTGTGGATATTCCGCACATGGCGCTGCAGATTCGAGGAAATGCTGAAGGAACGTTCGCAGTATTTGCACTTGTACGGCTGTTCGCCCGTGTGCGTTCTCAAATGCCGCGTCAGATTCGCCGATCTGGGGAAGACTTTCCCGCAAAACTTGCACGTATAACGATCCTTGTTGCGTTGCGGCAAATTGGGCGTGGCATTGCCCCCGGTGGCAGCTGTCCTTGCCTTGTTTTTCCTCCTCGTCTGATAGTCCTGCAGCTGCGGATGCGGCAAAACAGGAGATAATTTCGGGTTCGGATGGGGCAGCTCCAGTTGCAGTTGCTCTGTGGGCGGCGGCCAGGTGAGTTCGCACTTCTTCAGCGGATGCCGGAAGGGGAAGTCCGGTCCAGTGGGACTGCTCGATGCCGCCGGACTGGCCACCTTGCCGGGCAAAACCCCGGCGAACACATTGCGATACTGCAGCGGCAAGTTCTTGGTCATGGCTTCCAAAAGTGTGGGATGTACGGCAGGAATCGAACATTGCGGCGGCGTTAACGGTGGTGCCGTGGGTGGTCCAACCCCTCCTCCTCCGCCTCCTCCGCCTCCAGCACCACCCTCTCTCAAGGCCCTCAGCATTTTGCGGCTCATATCGAAACCCAAATCGGCCAGCGAGGCAGCAATATGATTGTTGTTCAGCTCCTTCTCCTTCTGATGCGCCAACTCGCTGGCGAACATTATCAGGTTGCTGTTCTCATCCTCCAGAGGTCCTTGATCGCCCAAGTCCGTCTTTCTCTTGTGGGCCAATCGCAGATCCAACGGCTGATCGAAGCTACTTCTCCGCTTGCCCTTCGCATGGTGATTCTGGATCTGATGTTGCTGGTGGGTGTGATGATGTTGCTGCTGCTGCTGCTGCGACTGTTGATGTTGCAGCCGGCCGGTTAGCGACGTTGTTGTTGTCGTCGTTGTCGGCGAGGACGACGATGAGGAGGAGGATGTTGCCGCCGCCGAGGAGGCCAGATCATAAGGTACGTGTGATATATACGATGTGGGTATTAATCCTAAGGCAGGGTAAACGCAGCCCTGTTTCGGGCTAGGAAGCATCTTTCTTGGTGAGTGGTCTTTCTCTCTCATAACTCTCATAAGTCGCTCAAGGGGCCGTAACCGAGTTTTTCCCTCTATTTTCCCTCGATTTTCCCTCGACTTTCCTCTTGATTGATTGATTGATTGATTGGCGGTTCGATTGATGCCCTGGCTGCTGGTTGCTTTAAGTTTTAGGTTCTAGGCTTGCCTTTGCTTTCCTTTCCGTGGAAAGGAATTTCCCAATGATTCCGATTTAAGTTTGCCTTAGTTTTACAGGAGCTATATACCTGAATGAAAGAGAAGAGGTATATTAATTAGTACCTAGTCTTATACAATGCTAATATCCAAATATTTACTAAATATGTAGACAAAGAAATTAGCATTTATAATCCATTTTAAATGGCTTACGTTCTTTGAAAGGAATTTCGCAGTTGAAACGCTTTGTTTAATTACACCCAAAAAGATGATAGATGACATTGCCCCACAAGTGTGTTACAATTCAAATAGCCATTATTTAAATCCAGTTCTAAGCCAAATAAACCCAGTTCCCGGGTGCGTCACAGACGCAAATATCAAAAATTTTCGCAGCTGTACTAGAAAGGGGTAAGTGTTCCATATGCCAGAGGTTTTTCCACCTACGTCATAAATTTAAAAAAAAAAAAAAAAAATAATAGTATCGCACAACTGTTCGGCAACCCAAAGAACATCTCTCATGGACCATTTGGGTTATTTCTTCTTAAATTTGTAGATTCCTTTGCTAGCCAATGCCAAAAGCCCCGAAAACGAAGGGGGGCCACTGAAATGTTTAAACAATTGTTCTATTGTCTGTTGTTTTAGGGTGGAAAAAAACTTGAAAAACCGACAAGAAAAAAAAAAAGATTAACAAGAAACTTAACGGTATCTAGAGTGACGATTATGTAAGACAAACAGACGGGCTGACAAACATCTAAACACACACACATCGAGGGGGTGGTGGGGGGTGGAGGGGTATTCAATGAGTAGGAAGTGGGGTACAGTGGCACCTCGTGTGGAGGTCGTTCAACAGCGCTTAAAGGTGCGTGCAAGGCAACGGCAAATGCGTGGGTTAAAAAGGTTACACTGCAAAAAACCTAAGCTCTAAAAAAAACAAATATAATATAAGATCATAAGATTTCTGTCCTGTATATAAATACTAACTGGTTAAAAATAAATTTTAATCTATAAGAAGTTGTTATCTCTTAAGAGACAATATAAAAATTAAATATGTACTCTAAATATTTAAAAAATCTTTTATTGTTTTTAAGATAATTTTCTTGTAGGTATTTAGAATATATTTTTTCGTCGTGCACCGATCTAAACTCGACTCTGGGCAGATGGCACACCAAGAAAAGACCTAAAAGCGATCCCCAACTGCTCAGCTCATCATGTGAACCGGGCTCAACAGCAAAAGCAACAACAACAGCAACAAAAGTTGCATATTTGCCAACTGCAACAGCAACAACAACAGCAACAACAACTTTAACAGACAACTTGCATTCAGGTGGGCGCGTTGATCTATGGAGCTCTGTTCTCCTATCTAGAACAGAATTTTTCATGAGACATTTTCGTGGGTTGTTGCTGTCGTCGCTGATGTTGCAGTTGCTCTTGTTGTTGTTGCTGTTGCCCGTGTTGTTGCTGCTTTTGCTGTTGCTGCAGTATTTAGCGATCGTCTGGCGACAACAAATTGCCTTTTGTTGTTGCTTCTGAGTGGCCGTGTTGCCAAAAAGTTAATTAGCCGCATTTGCTGCCTTTGATTTGTTGTCTGCGTTGTTATGGAGTCGAAAATTATTGTTACTGAATTGTAATTAGAGCTTGAGAACGCGTGGAAAGATTGCACCACATTTAAACGCAACAATCAGGTGGTTTATAATGGGAGGTTCTTTGGGGAAAAACGCTTTGGATTTTTAGAATTGCATTAGCTGGGAAGGTCTTTTTAAACAGTTTTCTTTGTGGAACATCTTTTTTCATATCGAGGAAATATTATTACTTATTTTGTATAATTATTATGGTTTAAATATTTGCTTAGCTGTTTAAATATTTTTCTTTAATTGATTAAAAATGAGTTCGAGCAAATTCGAGCCAACAAAGAATGAAAAAACATCTCAAAATTGTACGAATAATAATTATTTCTTGTAATTTCAGGTGAATATAAACAATATAAAAGCTATATAAATATAATTTTTTTTTCCTCTCTAAAATAAAGAATTCAGAGTGAAATGCCAATTAATGGATGAATTCCAACCTGCCAAAGCTAATTTGGCTCATCTTGCGACTGAGGCGTCAACACCTTTCATATGACTTTTGCTTGTCAAAAGTAAAATCTTGCCAGCACCCGAATCCCAATCCACTCTCCACTGCCTCCACTGAAAAGCCGCGATGTGTTTTATAATTTGTTGCAAACGTGCCAAAGTGGTTGACAATTATAGCCGACTCTTAAGCTGGACGACACTGCATCATCATCGGCTGCGCGATCATCGTGGCGATGATCACCTTTAAGCGGATGCCTGCGAAAGCCAAGTAAGAAAATAATAAAAAACAAACCGAAATACAAAAAAAAAAAAAAAAAAAACCAATTAAAGAGTAACAAAGTTTTAGCCAAGCGACAGCGGACGACAACAACGAGAGCAATGAAGCAAACAGTTCAAGAAACGGACGGTGAAGGTACGGATACAGATTCAGATACAGGTACGGCTGCAGATGCACAGCCGCAGATACAGATACAAATACAAATACGAAGAAAAACCAAATACAAATACAACAACAACAACAACAAATACAAATACGAGTAAAAATACGTATAAAATCCCGCAAGCGGCGTCGCATGTTGCAAAGAAAAGTGAAATCAAAGTTGTAAAACCGCGAAAAACGCAGTCAGGCAGACAGACGATGGCGACGATGGAAAACGGCGCTCCAGATTGGCAAAAATGTCCAGCGGAGGAGATGTTGTTGCCGTTGACAATGTTGCTAGTACGGGATTGCAACTGCACTGGGGAAATAGCACAACAACAAAAATCCTATTTTTATAGATCTAAAAATAATTTGTTTACTAAAAAAAACATCCTTTTTCTAATCGTAAAAAAGAATATATTTTTGAATATATTTATGAATTTTTCCTTGCGCTTTTCCTCAGTGTTTAAACTGTAACTGAAGCATAGTTATAGAGCAGGGGAATCCTACGAGTAGCCCGAAATTAACTTTGTCAAATTTGCGACGAAGCACCGTCATCAGCAGCAGCGGCATCATCATGATTATTAAATGCTGGTCGCATAATTATCGTTATAATCATGACAATCATTCGATGCAGTCGCGCTTCAGCAGCGGCAATAGCAAGAGCCAAAAGCATAATCATGCGCAGCTAAACCACAACCAAAGCCAAGACTAAGACTTGGCTAAAAGGAAAACCAAGCCAAAGCCGGCGACACACAATGAAAAACGAGAGTAAAAATCTCCAAAGCGAGCCGCTCACTGAAATGGAAAATTAAACCTTGTTACATCAGTCCAAGCAGCAGCAGCAGCAACATCAGCCGCAGCAGCAACATCAGCCGCAGCAGCAACAGCAACAACTGCACACCAGCAACTTGCAATGCGGCGACAACAAAAACAAATACTCGCTGGCAGGATCGCAGCTCGCACACACTTACACACCCATGAAGACTCTCTAACGAGGCAATGGCAACCTGATACCAAAAGCGTCACAACAAACATCCAACGACAAACAAACAAACAAACAAACAGACGCAAACAGAAAAGGAAAGAGACAGACACGCACGGGCAATAAAGCTAATGCGAAGCGCTTCAGATAGAAGAGATTAATACCCAAGATCACAAGATCAGTGCAGCATTTATTGCTTGATTGAATATTTTAACAATTCATGGTATTCCAAAAAATGCAGATACAAGAGCGATAAAGATTAGCTTGGGTCTAATAAAGACTTCAATAACTTTTTGTATGACAAAATAAAGAAATATTAATATAAACTTTAACACTTTATAACAAATGGTTTTCATTGGAAAAAACAATTGCTTTTATTTAAAAGAAAGGTGAGTGGTTTTTTTCCTAATTCTATAAAGTGTTTATATAAAATGGAATGAACTTTATATTTCTAATTAGAAAATATAAACCATTATTATCTTTTAAAAGTAAGGAATACAGGTATAAGAATTCACCTTGTGTTTATGTTTTTGTTTGCATGCCATAGGGGTAATACGTCTTTTGTATTTTGAATGCTTTTTGTATTTTAATGCTTGTTTATTTGTCCACCTGCAAACCGTAAAATCCCCAGCTAAATTCGCTCTCTAACCCAGGCATAAGTGATGGCTTGTCGGGAATAGTGCTCCTCACACGAAAACCCCTTGGATGTCCGAATTGCTGCGGTAAACTAGGCAACTCATCAACGAGAGCAACTTCTGCAGCAGCAACATGCAACAGCAGTTGTTGCCGTGGATGTGTTTTTGGGGAGTCAGCTGATGATGACGACGGCGATAATGATGATGATGCTATAGCTGGATCTGGAGCTGAAGCTAAAGTTGGAGCTGGGACTTTAGTGCAATCTGTACCACATTTTCCCTCGCTGGACACAACAAGTGCAGCAGCAGCAGCAATAGCAGTCGAAGCAGCAGCAACAACTGCGACAGTTGCAACAGAGAGCAAACACATCTCCAAATCACGTCTCGTGGTCGTCGTCCATCGTCGTTACATATCTGGTTGTCTAGATTGGCTGGCTGCAACTCGTCGTCAGGTGAAATAAAAAGTGAGAGTGACATCGGAAATTGTTTCAATTTTCCAAACGAAACCAACAAACTAGCAAACTAGCAGCAGCGGCTAGCTAAAAGTTGCCGCAATTGCAATTGCCATCGTCATCGGCAACTTGAGCAGCCGGTCGGTCGTTGGACTGCCACCGAATGAATGAATGTCGAAAAGTGTATCGAAAACAATTTTTCTACGTATGCTCCAGCCATCCAGCTATCCAGCTAGCAAGTGCTTTCCCAATGCTCCAAAAAATCGGCGGGGGAAAATGAAGAGAGAAAAAAATTAAAAACTAAACTAAAACTAAAACTGAGACCAGTTGGCTGCCTCGCCGCTGGCTGACTGCATCCTGTTGTTTGTTGTTTGTTGTTTGCTATAGTTCGCAATGTTTTATTTCTTACTTTAAGTTTTATATAACTAGCACACATGCAGACGACCAACCAGTTAACTTCACTCCGTCTAAATGCTCAGCCTAAATAATTGAGATTTTCTTCAACCCATTCCCCCACTCTACTTTTTTTT